AAATGTTTCTGTGGTGTCAAACTTATATACAGAGCGCCATGGAAAACGCATCACTTAGTTTTTCGTATAACAAAATGATCCTGTAAACATGTCTTATTTATTTTGCTTCTTATTGTGAACAATATTCAAATGGGAACACATCAATAACAACACATTTGTACACTTATGGATGTTTAATCTGTAATCAACGGTACAAAGTCAGAGGGGTCAAAACCAAAAGTACGACACAGATGTCAGTAGCGCATGTGTCCTCCACGGGCTCTTACGCACGCTGTGCAGCGACGTCGCATGGAATTTACCAATGTTTGAAAGAAGGCCTGGGGCAAATTGTTCCATTCTTGGACAAGAGCAGCTTTTAAAGCAGCAATGGTGTGCATCTGTGGTATCCGATACAGACGGCGTCCAATCTCATCTCAGACATGTTCTATCGGTGCCATGTCCGTAGCCAGTCCAAGACATTGATGTTGTTAGCAGCCAGGTAGTCCATACTAAAACGGGCGGTATGCGGACGTGCATTATCCTGTTGGAAGTGCTGAAGTTGTGGGTGCGCTCGAAACATCGGAACAACAATTGGTTGCAAGACATCATCACGGTAGGCTACAGCATTAATGCGACCCCTGCAAATGTGTAGGGCGGTCCGGTGATGAAATTTGAAGCCTCCCCACACCATTACACTTCCCCCACCCCATCGATTCAGTTTGAAAAAGCAGCAGTCTGCAGGACGTTCCCCAAGACATCTCCACACACATTGACGACCATCAGCGTGATAAAGATGAAAGCGACTCTCATCACTGAAGAGCACACTTTGCCAGTCTACTCTTCTCCATGTCTGGTGTCCTTGAGCCCATATCAAACGCCGCTGACGGTGATGATCCCTGAGGATAGCTCCAACATAAGGTTGTCGTGCACGGAGTCCTACTTCTCTTAGACGACATCTTACGGTGTTGGCACTTACTGGTCCTTGTCTTCCGACGACTGCTGCATGGCCATCAGCGTGATAAAGATGAAAGCGACTCTCATCCCTGAAGAGCACACTTTGCCAGTCTACTCTTCTCCATGTCTGGTGTCCTTGAGCCCATATCAAACGCCGCTGACGGTGATGATCCCTGAGGATAGCTCCAACATAAGGTCGTCGTGCACTGAGTCCTACTTCTCTTAGACGACATCTTACGGTGTCTTCCGACGACTGCTGCAGCTGTTCGAGTCGCTGGGCGGAATCTGTCACGCAGATGTAGCGGTCTTGAGCCTGGGTTGTAACGCGTTGTGGACCAGGACGTTGACGGTCACGTGTTGATCCAGTAACTCGAACACGTTCCACCAACCTTACAATAGTGGACTGATGACAATTGAAGTGTCTGGCAATAGCACGTGTAGACATGCCAGCCCTGGACATTCCCATGGCTTCATTCCGTTGATTTTTGTGCACACGGGCCGATATTTTTTGCGTTTGGGAGCATTGTGTGAAACAATAGTTCATAGTTTTGCATAATATTATACATACAAAACCACCTAGTAATAAAATATTTGGGAAAAAAGTGATGCGTTTCCATGGCGCTCAGTATATTTAAAAATATTTACCCATACTCAAAGCTATACCCTTGAGTCCAAAATAGACCAAAACTCTTGGCTTAATTTCTTATCAATTATTTGTATATTTATACATTTCTTATCAATTATTTGTATATTTATACTCTTTTTATTTCATAAACAGAGTTTTAATAATAATGACTTGTTAATAACTAGATTTATTTTTATGTAGTGCCAGGTACTACAGGGTACGACAGGGTATGGGGTATAAGAACCCTGTCACCAATGATTGATATTAGGCCAATCACGAACCTTGGGTTAAGTAGGGCCTAAGCAAAACGCAAAAGGCTCCACTTCAAGAGACAAGTTTAGGAAGCAAAGCAAAGAATAAGATAAGATGAATTTTATTTATTACAAACAAATAACAAGTAGAATCAATGCAAATCAAATCAAAGGCGAAAAGAACAAGCCAACAGTGGGGTCGAAATCCCAAAATAAATAGATGACACATATCAATTAATTTATAATTAGCAGTTATCTTTTTCAAAAGTATCGGGCAATCAAACTGATTATCAACTATACCCTAAGTTTCATCACTCTCCATCAGCCTTAGTGGAAAATGTGCAAAATGACACCTACACAAAGTTTGAACATTCTACCTCAATTAAAAGGAGAGTTATTGTGTTCCAAAGTCTCAACAAATCAGATCGAAGTTTCAGCATCAAACTTTGTTAAGGTACTGATGTAATGAAACTATACACCAAGTTTCACCCCTATCCCTCAATTAGAATCAAAGCAATCAAATTGCTTATCGCTCTGCTTACCCAGAGATGAAAATACCCATTATTGAACTTAGTCAAGGTATTGATGTAATGAAACTATACACCAAGTTTCATCACTCTCACTTAATTAGAACTATAGTTATTGTGTCCCAAAGCATCAACCAATCAAATTGCTTGTCTGCTTACCCTAAGCAGAAATTAATGCTCATCTTCGAACTCCATCAAGGGATTCACCTAATATCTAATAAACACCTACACCAATTGTGTCCCAAAAAATTTGATGGACAGACAGACAGAAGGACAGACAGACAGACCCATTTTAACATTCCCCTGCTTTCTTTGAAAGGCGGGGGACAAATAAATGTGTTAATTTGATTAGGGTGTCGCGGGAACAAAACCGCTAAAGCGCAATCACACTGGATAAAAACCCAATTACCAAGTATAGGTTGAGTAATAATAAACATAGTAATGATTGCTGAAGCATTTCAGACAAAGAATGAATATTAATAATTATAATGTTCAGACATGTGGGCATATAAAAAGTATTTAGTAACTAGTTCTTAGAGTAATAAAGCATAAAACATTCTTCTGAAAAACAGCTATTGGTGTGTTTATGTGAGCGTATATAAAAAGTATTTAATAACTAGTGGATACAGAAATATATAAAGTATAACACATACCACACTTATGGAAAACAGCTTTTCAAATCTTCTCCTAAATAAATTAGTAGCTGTTTTCAATACTTATAGAACAATAGGTTTTCCATCTGCAGGAACAACCCAGATAGTATGTACAATAAATTATATAATTGGATAGAGTAATAAACTATAATACATGTGCTTATGTAAAACAGCTACAATATACAATATTATATAGCTGGGAAATGTTTCCAAGTGTATTCACTTAATATCATCCAGCTCATTTGTTGAGACAATACTCAACTTTATTAAGCTCATCTGTTGAGAGAATACTCTTTGAAACGTCTAGTAAAATATCTTTGTATTTTATATAGTTGGATTATCAGTTTGGATACATTATTAAAATTTACACATTTTAAAATTTAAATTTACAGGCTAGATACATGTATCATGCAGACAGATGGGCAACCCAGAAGTTATCTCCCTTTAACATTTAAGGTTGGATAATCTTCAAATGACAAGCTCATACTAGAGCAAGTCACTAAATGAGAGAGAAAGCAATGGCGTTTAACGTCCACTCGACACAAACTAGGCCATTTCGGGACTAACATGGTTTAATTTTATTTCAATAATTCGCTTGCGCGTAAGGGTCTTTAGCAGTGGGAGGAAACTGGAGGACTCGGAGAAAACCCACGAGGTTGGACAGGCGACCCTACTCCTTGTCACGTACAACCGGGGAATCGAAACCATGCCAGTTGACTCAATGACTAAATACTTAACTTAGTCATCTTTAATGATAATTACACCCAGTTCAATTGGGCCATATTCAAAATAGATTGACCAATCTGTTGACAATAGCCTACATATGTTTTAAAACTCAATTTGCAACCTGTACACATTTTCCATGAAGTTAGGTGAAAATTTATACAAAAAGCTTTGTTATAAATAGCCCAGTGTTGCAATTTACAATAAAAAGCTGATCATAGGAATATTTCTCAATATACGTTAATAATATTTAACTATTTATAATCATTTTAATGTATATAACATATATTTACTTAAATGTACAATAATATATACATGTATATATTTATTTGAAAGAGGGAGAAATGGTTTAACCTCCACTCCACACAAACTAGATCATTTCTGAACTAAAAAAAATTAAATTACAACAATTCGCTTGCATGTACAGAAACCACAACAATTGACTCAATGACAGACCTTCTGATCTAAAGCTCACACGTTCGACCATTCAGCCACCCACCCCCACATTTTTATTTCAATGTGTACCATGTATATCTATTTGAATATATTCAACTATATACATTAATGTGAAAAGCATACAATATTCCATAATTTACATTAATTTGAAGGCCATATTTATTTTTATCTGAACATATCATATTATATACAGTTACTTAAAGGACAATATTGGTGTCAGTCATTATAAAATATGTGATAGAACTGGTTAAATACATCCCAAATATAACTTTGACACAGAGATCATTGCTACGGGAGATATGTAACAAGCATGTGAAGAAACGGGAAGTGACGACAAATATGACAAACACGAGTTATCTTACTATATAACTGATTGAAGCAACAAGCGATAACAGACACGCGATCGAATTTCATTTCACTGATAATTCAGTTGAAGATGAAAAGCTATTATATGAGACGGTGAGAGAACATCTGACAATTCAAAAAAAGAATTGGCTGTCATTAGATAAAAGATAACGAACAAATGAGAAAAAGTCCGTGCATTACTATGTTTTTATTAAGAACAGAATGAATAAAAACGGGGGAATGCACAGGATTTTTCTATTTTTCTCGTTTTCCCTTATCTAGTGACAGCCAATTCTATTTTTGAATTGTAAGATACCCTCTCACCGTCCCATATAATAACTTTTCAACTTCAACGGAATTATCAGTGAAATGAAATTCAGTCGTTTGTCTGTTATCGCTCGTTACATCAGTCAGATACATAGAAGGATAACTCGTGTTTGTCATGTTTGGTGTCACTTCCCGTTTCTTCACGTGCTTGTTACACATCTCCTGTAGCAATGATCTCAGTGTTAAAATTATATTTGGAATGTATTTAACCAGTTCTATCACATATGTAATTATGACTGACACTAATATTGTCCTTTAATGTATCTTACAAAAATATTAACAGTTATTCTTGGTTAAAAGTAAAATCAATACCACTCATTTTTCATGCTATATAATTCACTGGACAATAGACTATATGATATTGTACATGTGTTTTTCACACTATATATAGGGGAAAATAATTTTTTTTTCACTTCATGTTGAGTACTTCAGTAGATAATATACAAGTGATGGGATTTCACCCGTATATTCCGGACATGTCCCACGCTATTTCCCAAACCTCCTACATTGTCCGACCAGCGTATATCTACCACTCAACCCGATTATCGTTGATCATAGGCTGGATTGATTTGGTAATTAAGTGATCAACGTATTTATCGTGTTATAGCGCCTATACGACTACCTTGTTTAACTAGTTAATCTGCCTTGGCTGACTTAATCCTTTGACAGACAATTCAACAATCCAATCCCGAACAGAAGTCATTACTTCTCCTTTGTCGGTCTGAAACCACCTGCTTAAATAACGATAAGAGTTATGCCCCTCTATTCTTCAGTAAAAATGTCTGACAAGAAAAAATTTGAAATCCCTACACTGCAATATACTTTCTGGTATTGGTTGTTTTAAATTTGTTGGGGTGGGGGTGGGACGCAGGGCTGGTGGTGACATGGGTGTGTTTTACAGTCTATGGAGGAGAAACAAAGTTATTTGTCTTTAAATCCAATCGGCTATCAGTTTCTTGTTCCACACTTATTTTAACAAACATTACATCATCCTTCACATAGGCATACTGGGGATCCTGTAGCCTTGACAACGGTAAAAACAGTGGACAGCCACTAGCAATGTTCATTTCTGATTGTGGTTTTCGAAACGAGGAACTTTGTGGATCTGGTCGAAATGTGTCGACAATGTGTTCCTTAAAATTCTGATCAATCATCATCAGAGTTACCTTTTCCTTAAATGGCCAGGACAATAAGTTGTCATAGTTACCACGCATCAATACAAAGAATAATGAAATATGCGTTCCCTTTCCCATACCGTCACCATTCGGGTAGAGTCGTGCGCACATCTTGTATCCGACATGCCCCGTGTAGAATGTTGGGGAATAGGTGCTGGTGACTTTACCAGTTAGGGCATCTTGACGTTTCTGTTTGAAATCACTGATCTTCCAAATTAATACACCATCGTATCGAGCGAACTCCATGGATTGAAAACGTAAATCATTCTGCGCTGAAAGTCTGTCTTTGACCTCCTGGGCTTTTTCCATATTTCTCATCCTCAAATCAAGTTCATCAACTTTCCGTAAATACTGGTCTCGATGTTGACTTTCTTGCGACATTTTATTCTCAACAATTTCTATAGTGCTGTTGCATTTCTCAATTTCTTTATGTAGAACACCCATGATTGGTTCAAATGCATTTACTCGTAATTCTGTTGCAGCTATCCGGGAAGCTGCACCAATATCATCTCCAAGAAATGAGCCTCCAGAAGCAGCAGCTGCTCCATTAGTGTTAGCTCCACCTCTTTCTATGACTGCTATCCTCTCAGACAGCCGAGCTATTTCATTATTTAAGCTTGTACTTGCAGGTGCGGCTAATGCGCTAATTCTTTCATCTATTTTCCTAGCCAGTTGTTGTGTTGCTTCCAGCGTATATTTTAAATGTAATGGAACATTTTTCTGGATATGGGTCTGAAGCTGATCATATCGAATCTGTTAAAATAATAAAACCATAATTTACTTAAGCCAAGGGAGATAATGTTTACAAATAAAAAGAGAGAGAAAGAAATGGGGTTTAACATCCACTCGTCACATACTGGGTCATTTTGTGACTAAAGCATGGTTCAATTTTATTTCAATAATTTGCTTGTGGGTAGGAGTCTTTGGCAGTGGGAGGAAACCAGAGGACCCAGAGAAAACCCACGATGTTGGACAGGCAACCCTACACATTGTCAAGTAAAAGCTGGCAATCTAAACTGTGCCACATGACTCAATGGCAGACCTTATGATCTAAAGGACAAGTGTTAAAACATTCCCCTCCCCCCCCCCATCTACAAATATAAAGAGAATACATGACAGAAAAACTTGCCGTGAGAGTCCAATATAATAAACCTTAATTAAATATGCAATTATATGTAAGAGCTAAATCTGCCTATTGTAAGTTTTTTTCTTTGGACTGAAATGTTATCTAAATTATTATTTAGACATTTATTCACATGACAAGCCCATAATCAACTCTCTAGACCATCAGATGGTCATGATTTAATTTTAAAATGGAGAGAGAGAGAGAGAGATGGGGTTTAACCCATCCACTCGACACAAACTAGGTCATTTCGGGACTAACACATGGTTCAATTTTATTTCAATAATTCGATTGCGCGTAGGGGTCTTTAGCAGTGGGAGGAAACAGGAGGACCTGGAGAAAACCCATGAGGTTGGACAGGCGACCCTTCTCCTTGTCACGTACAACCGGATAATCGAAACCCCGCCAGTTGACTTAATGACAGACCATATGATACAGCACTTGTGCTAACCATTCATACATCCAACCCCCATTTTAAACTGGACAATTCAGACTTTGTTTATTATCGTAACAATGGTAGCAATTAAAACTGAGACTACACTATTCTTATCAAAGCAAAAACACTGAAAACTTTGCTCAGAATAAAGTAATTTGACATAATTTTCAATATATTCCTTTTTTCATTATCTATTTTTAAACTATTATAGCGAAAACTGTCACTGTGTGCTCTTTTTCTAATTCTTACATAATGCTTCTTAAGGCCAAAATTGGTAAATTTCCAAGCCAGTCATTAAGACAGTTAAATATGGCCAAAATGAGAGTCATCAACCATGTATTTAATCATTATCATAATGGAAACCTACCAGATCTGAGCATCCTGCAGGACATGGTGCAATTCTTTTAGAACATTCATCATTTGTATGTTTCACAAGCTGTAATAAAAAATACATAAAATTATATATATTGTACTGCTTAATAAGCGAAACTCAGCCTGACCTTCCCTAAAACAAGCCATATGTATCTCCTGAAAATAATTTTTGTCGTTTATTAGCCGTCATAATGACAATTCATTAAATCTCACAAATCTGTCTATGACAGACACACCACTCGTTATGCATCTCGACTAGGCTAAATGTAGAAGAGTATATGCCATGCAGGGAACAAAGGAACCAGGTTCGTATCACAGTTTGCGATCCTTTTCCGACATCACTGCGAGTCAATGAAAAAATTGACTAGCGAAACTTTTCTTGGGAATCTATAAAGTTGCGAATCAATTTTATCAGACAAAGTACCTTAAATGTCAACTATTAGTGCCTCAAAATTCAATTGGCAACAAGATCAACATTCAATTTGGGAGTCTGTCTGAGTTTAGTTGCGCTTATCATGACATATACAGTGTGCTATGAGGGAAATTTAACCTGAACAGCAGCGCTACAGCCTACTCTTATATCGAATTCCAACTGTCAAAGGATCTTTTACATGCATTCCAATGTGTACATGCCATGGGACTTCGGTTTTTCCTCCCATCCGAATGACTATATGTTATCCCTTGCCAGGCCTTCTGTCCTGCATCACTGACAAGGGGGAACCATACCAGAAAATCCCGATGAACTTCCTCAGCCAATGCAGGGATTGAACACGGGACCTCCAGGTTAGCGAGCCAACGTCTTACTTGCTTAGCCACCGTGGCTCCCATACTTTTTATGACCAGGTCCGCTATCCTACAACACTGACAAGGTGAAAATACGCTGGGAAATCCTGGGGAACTTTAATTTTCTTGACCAACACTGGGATCAAACCCGAGGCCTCCCCCTTAGTGAGCCAGCTACTTGATCACTGAGCAATAGTTTGATAAAGATTTACATTAATTACCTGTTCTCTCAGCAATTTTTTATTACAGGCCTCACACGTTATGCTGACTTTAGGACAAGTCTTTTTATGCTCCTGTAAAAATATTAAAATTTACAAAATCCTGAAATTACTAAAAATAGAGTTTTCACTCTTGGCTTTATTTGTATGTTTCTGTTATTTACAGATACATTATGTAAGAGCTAAATATGTTTATTGACAGTCTTTATTTTGGATTCAAAACTTATATAAATTATAAACTATTATTTAGACATTTATTAACATGACAAGCATATAATCAACTCTATAGACCATTGATTTCTAACTGAATAGACACATTTCCTTGCTAGGTCCTCTCGTGAATCGCATGTTTGTGTACCTTCTGACTGAACGAATAGACACTTTTCCTTCCTAGGCCCTCTGGCATGCATTCCAAATATATTGTAAATACTCTGGCTCATGTCCTGCATATGCTTTAGTCGAGTCTGAACATAAGGAACCTGTCATAGACATTGTCAGACTCAAGCACCAATTATTACATGTACATATAATACATTGTGTTATAAATTGTGTCCAAGTCTGTGACAGGTGCCTCCATACTAAACTTAGGCTGTCTGTCTACAGTTAGCTCCACTTGAGAACAAACACTAAGCTACATGTATCTACTTTGATTGGCATTTAGTAATTGAACATATTAACACAAAGTACAATTTTATGGATACACTACAATTACTGAGTTTAATACTAAGCGACGTTTCGACGAGGACACTCTCGTCTTTATCAAGCAAATGGTACAGGTATCCTCATCGAAACGTCGCTTAGTATGAAACTCAGTAATTGTGTATCCATAAAACTGTACCTTGTGTTAAACTACATGTAGTAAAAAAATTGTAGTTGACCAACATTTTAGGTCCTAAATCGACAATTTTAGTCGAAAAAACACTGAATATACTTTGAGAATTTTGTTTAGTATTTATTCTACTTACATTTAATTATTGAAAAAGTTTATTTAGTCTTTGCGTGTACATGCATGACCGATGTTAAACGGTGTAGAAACACATTACAAAACAGTATACTAATTTTTGGATATTTATGCCGGCCATTTAGGGCAGAGATCTATTCTCAAGGAATGAGAGAGAGAAAGAGAGAGAGAGAGAGAGAGAGAGAGAGAGAGAGAGAGAGAAATGGAGTTTAACTGCACTCGACACAAACTAGGTCATTTCGGGACTAACATATTGTTTTGTTTTATTTCAATAATTTGCTTGCGCATAGGGGTCTTTAGCAGTGGGAGGAAACTGGAGGACCCAGAGAAAACCCACGATGTTGGACAGGCGACCCTACCTCTTGTCACGTACAACCGTGGAATCAAAACCCCGCCAGTTGACTCAAAGACAGATCATATGATACAGAGCGCAAGTGCTAACCATTCGGCCATCGGAAGTCATATAATATTCATAGGGTTTAAGTGAGGAAGTCATGTAATATTTATATTGTGTGATCATGTAGTAATGAAGTAATGGATCTCTGTGTGCAGAATGAGGTGCCTCATGTTCAGACTTGGCTTTGGCCCATACTAATCAATGATGAGAGTAATAATTCCAAGAAAATAATCTTACCTTAATATCCGAAAACAAAATTTCAGCATTACAATTTTCACATCGAACTTTACGTTTTGGACAACTTGTCTTCAGATGGTCTTCCATCTTGGATTCGGGTATATTTTTACCACATGCCTTGCATGTAATTCCACGGAATTCACAATCTATTTCATGTGTCTATAAAAGATAATAATAATAAATTAATTCTTCAGGATCTTGATCAATAGAGAGAGAGAGAGAAATGGGGTTTAATGTCCACTCGACACAAACTAGGTCATTTCGGGACTAACATATGGTTTAATTTTATTTCAATAATTCGCTTGCGCATAGGGGTCTTTAGCAGTGGGAGGAAACCGGAGGACCCGTAGAAAACCCACGAGGTTGGACAGGCGACCCTACTCCTTGTCACGTACAACCGGGGATTCGAAACCACGCCAGTTGACTCAATGACAGGCTTTATGATACAGCACGCACATGTTAACCATTCGGCCACTCCCCCCCTCTCGATCAATAAATAGATGTGTAGTTTAAAATTTTAATCCATATCAGTCGGGAACTGAATGAATTGGAGAAGGGCAGCCAAGTTCTTTTTGTTTATAATTAAAGGACAATATTGGTGCCAGTCATTACTACATATGTGATAGAACTGGTTAAACATGTTCCAAATATAATTTTAACACAGAGATAATTGCAACGATAGATGCGTAATGAAGGTTTCAACAATTGGAAGTGACGAATGCAAATGGAAAACACGAGTAATCCCTCTATATAACTGATTTAAGTGACGAGCGATAACAGTTACACGGGCGAATTTCTGCTCACTAATAATTTTTTCTAAAACCAAAAGTTGTTATATGAGACTGTAAGAGGATATCTGACAATTCAAAAAAGTAATTGAATGTCATTAGATAAGAGAACATGAGAAAAATAGAAATAGTCCGTACATTCCCTTGTTTTATTCATTCTATACTTAATAAAAACATGGTAATGCACAGACTTTTTCTATTTTTCTTTTGTGTTCTCTTATCTAGTGACAGCCAAGTCAGATATCCTCCCACAGTCTCACACAACAACTTTTGGTCTTCGAAGGAATTATTAGTGAGCAGAAATTCGCCCGTGTATCTGTTATCTCCAGTCACTTCAGTCAGTTATATAGAAGGATAACTTGTGTTTTCCTTTTGCGTTTGTCACTTCCGATTGTTGAAACCTGCATTGCGCATCTGTCATAACAATGATCTGTGTGTTAAAATTATATTTGGAACATATTAAACCAGTTCTGTCGCATATGTGATAATGACTGACACCAATATTGTCCTTTAAGGAAACAAAATGTTTAATGGGTCTTCCTAAAGAAATTAAATGAAATGGCTTTTGTTTAACATCCTACTGTTCTGCTCCGACTGGGCTAATGAAGATGGACATACGCCATACAGTATGAGGGAAATTTTGCCTGTCTCCATTAGCCCAGTCGGAGAAGAACAGTAGGACGTTAAACCTCATTTCATTTCATTTCATTTCATTTCTTTTCTTTTATATTGGAATGTCAAGATGGAGGCAATATTTTCCAATTTAGTTAATAATATTACATGTGCATTTGTTGTTTGTTGTGTAAAGTAAAACATGTTTGCAATGGCTGCTTGTATTTCATTTGGAAATGACAACATTAAGATACCCAATCAATAAAAGTAAAGAAAGGAACATTTCATTAAAATATTTATTCAAAATTGATGAAGGAAATAGAATTTACCATGTAATTTTTAAAGACACCTGTCCAGCTACAGCCTTGATTTACACATTTACACTGAATCTTTCCCATTTCTCTTTTTATAGCCATATCAGGATACATCTACAAACATATAACATACTGGTAAATAAAGATTTCACAAACGGGCTATAGAAAAAAGATAGGTTGCCAGACAATGAAACATCCACATGCAGCTAAATCTTCTGGGGAGTCGACAAGGGTTGTTGCATATTTTATTCTTTTGTAGGTAATGGAAACATGTTTGGATTGTACATAGTATATATATATTTTGTTTCTTCTGTCTGTACCACTAACCCCAAACGATGACATCTACCAATCCAGAAGCAGACGAGATCATCTACCAAATGATATGTTTTATATTAAATAAAGGGAAGAACTTCCCACTAAACCAAATCCATGGCCTAAGGCCAAATGGAAAGATTGCAAAATCATATTCTAAAAAACAGGAATCAGCTTCAGCTCTCCTATGTCTTGTCTGCGATATCACTTATGTGGAAGCAGACGTTAAACACCAAGAACGAACAAACGAACGTCTGTAAGGTATTGTGCTTGATAACGACAAGAGAATCATTGTTGAAACGTAGCTTAAATAGAAAAAAAATATCTTGCTAAACAGGTCTATGCCTACTGGCAAACTTTTGAATTAACAGCCCTGCTATCAAACTACTGTTTTAAATGAATAATACTGTACATACCTTGTCTTTATGAAGATAACTGATATCAAGATCAACAGTATCTTCCTTCACACAAGCTTGACATGTTATCTGGCTATCTGTATGTCTAAAATTAGATTGAGAAATCATGCTATGCGAGAGAGTAAGGGGAGGGGGGGGGGGTAACTCCACTCCAACTAATTAAAGTGAGAAATTTAAACCATGATAATAGAAGGAGAAAAATGGGGTTAAAAGTAAACACAACACAAAATAGGTCATTTTGGGACTAACATATGGTAAGATTTCATTTCTTTAGTTTAATTGTATGTAGGAGTCTTTAGTTGTGGGATGAAACTGGAGGATCCACAGAAAGCCCACAACATAGGACTGGCGACCACACTCCTTGTCACGCTACTCAAGTGCCCAAGGAAATGAACTGGGGTTTAACATCCTACTTTTCTGCACAAACCAGATAAAGACAAGCAAACACTTTGAAGTGTGCGATAACTGTGTCGTCGTCAACTACATGTGTGTGTCAATCTGATAAATAAATCGGGTATTCCCGTTGACAAATTGAAACAAGAGTCTGAAAAATTAAACCACCTTTATTTTTGGTATTACTAAGACTACAATACAATGCCATATGGTTATTCCACAATACTTTTTCAAATCAATATTTGGCATATCCATATTTTTAATCTACTTTTATTTTATTTTTAAAAAAAAGGAATATTTGTTTTTTTCTAATTCAGTTATATCAAAAAACACCTGCAGGCAATACATTGTACATGTATGAAGGGGGATATGGGACAATTCGTACCCCACCAATTCGTTCCCATGAAATTTGTCCCCTAGGACTATTCGATGAAGGCGATCAATACTACTATAGACAAAACAAGCCAGCACCACCTATATACTTTGCTAATATGTTTTTATGGCCCTTATTTTGTACCGATTGCAGAAGGTGTGATTATTTACTGTCGATACACTGATCTGAATTTTATTTTCTTTATTAAATTTTAATAGCGTGGATTTATTCATGTGAAAAAATAGAAATTATGATAAACAGCTTTGATAATTAAATACTAAAGGGGCATTATGTAAGATTTAGATCAAGAGCTGGCCGTTCTCGGTATACTATTTCAAAAATAGATAATGCAAAATGAATATATTGAAAATTTCATTCAAATTACTTTATTTTGAGCCAAGTTATCACTGTTTGTAGTTTTGACAAGACATGTGCATTGATCGTAACCACCATACTGGTCATTCAGGTATGGTCTCACTTCTCCATTTTTAAATTAAATCATTAAATGACCAAACTGTTCTTATATGATAGTTTGAACTTACCCACAAATAGCCTTAAAACATGACTGACAATATCTATGTCCGCATGGACTCTGTACTGGTTCACGTAATATCAATTCACATTTGTTACATAAAAACTTCTCATCTGGCTTTTTATTAATAAATATTTCTAAATTATATCCTTCTGGTGATGGCTGTGGCGCTTTACTTGCTGCCATCTTGCTTTTTCTATTTCTGTAAAATAAAAGAAATGAAATGGGGTTTAGTTTAACGTCCTACTTTTAACAATCTGATTAAAACACAGATCCTATTTTGTTCGTTTTTTTTTTTATAGTTCAAAATTTTATTTTTACTTGTCTTTACTACACTAGGATCTGGAAGAGTTGTTATATTACCACCGTCTTGGTTGATATGAAGGATATTAGTCAGACTGTTACGGCAAGTTTTTGGCGTGAATTGCACGGAACTGTGGGTAACCCACTAGAAATATCAACGCTGATTGGTTAATGTAATGTATGACGTCATAGGGTCAAAAGCTGCTCGTATAAGCTATGACCCGACCTTTCACTACAATCGGTCGGATCTTCTTGTAGTGTTGGCCATCGGAAGTATAAAAAAAACGAAACGAAATATAGATCTGTATTTTAATCAAATTGAAATTTTAAGTAATAAATGAAACAAGTACTCTCGATATCAAGTGAATGGATCCTGAGAACCAAACAAAGTATCAAAATACAATAAATTGTGCACACACTCAGATAACAAATTTCAAATGCAAAATTGCATGTTACCACAGAAATTACCATATGTTATTTATCCTCAAGTTTATATGTTTGTCAATAAAATCCAATTCCATATCTAACTAAGATATGTCTGTCAAAGTTTGTGGAAATAACCCATAATACACAACAATTTGCAGGGTGTTGTATACGTGTACAAAGAACCACCTAAGTATACTATAAGTATAGACAAAATGGGAATTTATTTTCCAATAATAACTAGGTTCTAGAAATAACTGGGTTTTCCCATTTGCACTATTTTTACCAGTCGATTAACCCCCTTGAGTTTGAAATTTGTAATATGATTATATCAAATAACAAAAACGATCTTGATACCATGACAATGAAATAAGTTGGAAAAAATGAGTGGTCCACTTCCAGGAAAGTCTATTTTTAAATCCAGGAATGCAGTACATGTACATGTATTGTTGAACCCAACTGGCCAACAATTTTGGAAATGCCCAATAATTTTTCCATTTTCTGGATGATCTCCCCTTACATTGTACATGTCACACCTTACCCCTTTCAGAAGTGAACTAAATGTTCCCTGTCCTGGGGATTGATTCAAGCAAGGTTGAAAACCTCCTGATGGTTTATCTACATTTAGATAATAATATTAACCCCACACATATACAATACAGACCTAAAGGAAACTGTAGCCATCTCAATGTAGTAAAAGTATGGAATAAACAGAACTTGAATATTTAATATTTGTTCAATTTGGTTCCGTCTTCCCTACCGTTACCAATACAAATACATCCAATAGGCCTAGATACGGTACAGTAGCCTATGACCCTACTAGATAAGAAACCTCATCAAGATAAGAGATGGTACTGGGGGTATACTATATACCGGAAAACACCGGAAAACAACCAAACACCGAAAAACACCTCATCCCCCAACCCTCTATGTTTCAAGTTAAAGGGACAATAACACTCTTGCTGGCTTGAAAGCTCCAGAAAATAAATAATATCTATATCTAAGTACTAGATGTTTAAGTGTCCTACCTGTTGTGTAAGTTATCCATTACATCCTATTTTACTTGTCCAGAGGGTTCTAAAAGGTTTACGTTAGACGTTTCAAACCATTATGTTGAATTTTTCAAAATTTTTAAATAAGGTGTGTTAAGATGAAATTTGTATCATCAATTAATTGAAATATTCTAAAATAGTACAATTTGTTGACCAGAATAAAGATTGGGACATATTATTCAGTTACAACAAGAGTGGTATTGAGCCTAGGAGATGGTACTGGGGGTATACTATATACCGGAAAACACCGGAAAACTACCAAACACCAAAAAAAAACATATTATACTGAATACCGGAAAACACCAGAAAAACCTAACCCTAACCCTAACCCTAACCACCCGCACACAAAGAACCAAGCTGCAGGTTACCTGTTTAGGGTGTTTTCCAGTATTTAGGGTGTTTTCCAGTATTTAGGGTGTTTTCAGTGTTTTCCAGTATTTAGGGTGTTTTCCAGTATTTAGGGTGTTTTCCAGTATTTAGGGTGTTTTCCAGTATTTAGTGTTTTCCGGTATACAGTATAACATGGTGTTTTCCAGTAGTTTTATAGGATTGTCGATGGTACTGTATAGATCCACCTGGCAAAGCCTGATGGAGATCAGATCGGTCTTTCAATAAGCCAACCTGACATTTTTTCTTTGAAACAACGATATTGTTGTTTATATATAAATTCCTGCCAAGTACATCCAATATGAATGTCTGTATCAATTTTGATAAAAACAACGCTTAATTCACTTCTGCTGATATTGTAAATTGTTCAGTGAAACGAAAGTTGTTTCAATTGGGCTGTATGTTTAATAAGTCCTATAATTATTATAATAGTATAAAATTAACTTATTTTTAAGATGTTACACGCATTAATAACTTTGGGTTTCGCAGGTGAAACTAAGGCACCCAATCGTAGCTAAAAACAAGTTCTACTAATTCAATGCCAACGTTTTAGTATCGTATTCTTGAACATTTTCGTATTTAGTAAACAATATAAGGAACATAATAATATACATGTATATTGTATATTTATATTCCTTGACTTGAAGGGCAGGCTTATAAATTATAATATATTAGTATGTTCCTTGACTTGAAGGCTTTCCCATTCCACTTACCTTGTTGCTGTTGATTGTCAAACGTTAAGATTCTATCACCTCTTAGTAAGAATAAGATCTAGTTTAATACACTTCATGAAATAACCAAAAATGACGCTAAAATAACCCCTTTTCTACAATCCACCATCCTTGTAGTGTAGTGAGATATTTTCTACGCGTGGCTTCGGATAGTCTCTGTTATCGCGGCTGGATTATATATAGGCAGATGGTGCAAGAGTCTAAATAATCGAGTGAGAAATGGAAACCCCCTTTCTAATTATAGCCGCTTAAAAATTCTCCAATATGGGACGACGCAGTTACTAATAGATCATTGGCTGGAGAATAGGTCCTGAAATGACATGTGAAAAACTGTCATGATTTAGGCCTATCATTTGGAAGAAATTAATTTTAGACTTGGCCGGTGCCTTTTTATTTTTATTAAATTTCCACTTCGACCTAGGCTGATTTGTTTTCCCATTGAGCGCTAGGGATATAATGAATTCCACGACTGGGCTTCCAAAATGATCATAATATTTTGTTCAATGAAATAGTAAAAAAACAAAAATTCCCTTCTCCCTTTTTGTACGTCATATTCTAAAATTGTTAGTTTTTGCCATACTACCAGTACAACTTATGGTCTGACATTAATGACGACATATATATACTTAAAACTAGAACAGGCATTATGCAAGAGCTAAATCTGTCTATTGCAGGTCTTTCTTGGGCGTGCATGAAATGTTATATTACCTAAATTATTAATTGGACATTAATTGATAATTTAAGGCCCCTTTAACATTGGGGCCTGGCTGCACCCCGCTCAATCCGGGCTTGGTGTAAATTGACTGTTGGATCCCGAAATACAATTAAAAGGTAGGTTGCCAGGCAACGAAATTGTCCACAGCACTTAGGGTTGTCGCAATTTATTCTTTTGTAGGTAGTGGGCGACATTTACAAGACAATTTCATACAGGTCATAATTTACGTTGTTTGGCGGTCCACAAGGTCCTATACAATTTGAAACAAGGGCATCTTAGTATAATTTACAGAAATTGCTGAAATTTGACAGGCTTTTTCGTTTCACTAATTCAAATATAGATCGAATGTACCTTTGTCGTTAAAACGTTCACAAGATCTACGAGGTGAAACAGGGACCATAACTCTATAAGTAAATAACAAACAGCTGAAATTCAATTGACTTCATCGGTTCAATAATCGGACGATAACTCCAGAAGAAATTTACGGAAATTATTGAAATTAAATAGGATTCTTCATCTCACTGATGTAACCAGCATATATAAAATTTCAAAACAATCGCATGAGCGTTCACAAGAAATTGTGGACGACGGACGGACGTACAGACATACAGACGTACGGACGGGAGCTACTGCAATATACGACCACATTTCTATGTGGGCGTATACAAATCTTGAAATATTAACCCGCGTCGTTTTCCCCAGATATTTGTGCGCAACTCCGATACTTTTTGGTATACGGGAAGTTAATCTAATGATAAACTAAGTACAGTTACTGCTTAACAGTAGGACATTAAACCCCATTTCATTTCATTTCAGTTACTGCTTATCTGTTTTCAGACAGCCAAAAAGGGACACGAGCCTTTCAGCCCCGATTGGAAAAACATAACATGACATAAAATTCATTTTCGTATCAACTGGAAAATATAATGGCCCTAATCCGATGAGAAAAATAGTGAATAGTGAATCAAGCTGGTTTTGTTTTCTCTTCATTTCACGTATTCTTCCCCGTGATAGGGGTCAACGAAACCCTGAAACTTTTCTTTCGGGGCTAAATGCGGAAATTTGATTATAGAAGGTTTTAAACAGCAAACTTTTTAAAATCGAAATCAGAGAAAATTGGATACAGCCACAATCAGTCGATCACCAGTAGCGTTAACCCAGTGGTTCTCAACTTTTCGTCTTTTGTTTGCCAGCGGCACACCTTGGAACACCTGGCTAGATATATATGAAAAATATTTAAATTTTGCAAAATAAAAAACATGGTAAGTCAGACGGCATACAGCCGTAGACAGAGACTAGTCATAGACACATAGAATGACTCAAACTAAATAAAGAAAAACACAGCATATTAGTAGACACCAGTGAGTACTCAATTGGGATCACGTGTTTTTTCGCATTATCTAATTTCGCGGCACACTGGTTGAGAATCACTGCGTTAACCCGTTTCCTACCCCACTGAGCTTGAGAGCCAACAGTCAAGGAGGACGGATAGATGGTTCACGTACCTTAAGCGCGATTGGGTTTTAGTATCGCTAAATCCGTTTGTAAAAAGGGGGGGGGGAGAAAAGTGGGTGAAATGTAGGCATTAGGACAAAGGAAATATGGCAACGACGCTGCATTTCCATGAGTATTTGGGGTAAATCTTTTGAAAGTCGAGGGCACTTTTTCAGAAATGAAAACTTTTAGAAGAGAGACCCCTTTTCGGAAGGGAGGTCCGGTAGTCACCATATACAAATCTCATTGGACTCAAGCGTCATCAACCATATCCGCCCCTGACATCAAGACACAATCTGTTTCACAGAAAATTAAGAGTCTAGTAATATCTCTGTCAAAGATGACTGCCTTCACACGTGCCATCACAGCACTCGGCGTCAATCATTGGCTGAATGGCGCGTGGATTGTTTACATAAGATATTACTGCTTCGGGCGGAATGCTGCCTTTTAGTCATTTTAATACCCATTTAAACTAAATAGGAACTACTTTTTACCTACAAATACGTCAAACGCCTTTATTTATTTTTCCAATACATAAAAAATGCTTTAGAATTTAATTTGTTGCAGGAAAAAAGTTAATATTTCTGGCTCATTAAGTCGCATCGATGTCATCCTTATCAGTAATTGTAGTGGCCTAGCGAAAATTCACTGCTGATCAGTGTGATCAAGACATCCAAAGCAGATGGTGCAAGAGTCTAAATAATCGAGTAGCAATGGAAACCCCCTTTCTAATTATAGCCGCTTTAAAATTCTCCAATATCGGACGTCGCAGTTATATGGTTAGCCAAACACCCGTTCAGTCTGGATAAAAACATATAATAAGCGTTATATATAGAACTCTATGAATGAAACGCAATTAGTTCTAGTTTTAAAAAAAATAATAATAAATAAATAAATAAATGAAAAAATAAAAAAAGAAAAATTTATTTTCGCTGTTAGATGATTGGCTGGAGAATAGGTCTGAAATGAAATATGAAAAACTGTCATGATTTATCATTTGGAAGAAATTAATTTTAGACCTGGCCGGTGCCTTTTTATTTTTTATTAAATTTCCACTTCAACCTAGGCCGATTTGTTTTCCCATTGAGCGCTAGGGATATAATAAATACCACAATTGGCCTTCCAAAATGATCAAAATAGGGCCTATATATATATATATATATATATATATAGGCCTACTTTGTTCAATGAAATAGCAAAAAACAAACAATCCCCCTCCCTTTTTGTCATATTCTAAAATTGTTAGTTTTTGCCATACCAGTACAACTTGTAGTCTGACATTAATGACGACACACGTGATCAATTAAATATACCCGGTACTTAAAGTAGCTAAGTCTCTAACTCAATATCATCCAAAATCTTCAACATTGAAAACACGATTTATTTATCAAATTAAATCAACATTGATAATCTGATCTTACCGGAAAAAGATGGGCTTTTGATATCCAATATTTAAGACAAAATAAACATTTTAACATTGGTACACGAATCGTGTACCATAATGCGCTTCAGCCCCAGTTGTAACAAGAGACTCGAGGGACGAGGCTAGACACATTGCACCAAATCAAACGGCGTATGTAGACAGGAATAACCAGACGCTAGAAATTTGCACTCGATTGAGACTGCTGGCTTATTTCGCCGAACATAACTGATTTGAAATTGGAGTAAAAACGGAAACCATTGAATGTAAATCAATTTATATACATTCATATTACAGTATTATATGCGCTGCGGCCCACTTTTGTCAATTTCTAGGTCCCAAATGTTAGCGATTTACCTCCTTTAAACAGGCATTATGCAAAAGTTAAATCTGCCCATTGCCTGCCTGTACCCCGCTTAATCCGGGCTTGGTGAAAATGGACTGTTGGATCCCGAAAAATACAAATTGCTGAAATTCGATAGGCTTTTTCGTTTCACTAATTCAAATAATGCATATAAATTTCATATAGATCGAATGAACCTTTGTCGTTAAAACGTTCACAAGATCCACGAAGTGAAACAGGGACGATAACTTTACAAGTAATTAACAAACAGCTGAAATTCAATTGACTTCATCGGTACACTAATCGGACGATAACATTTGTTGTTAGTGCGTTCACAAGTTTCAATAAAGTGAAACAAGGTCCATAACTCCAGAAGAAATGTACGAAAATTATTGAAATTAAATAGCCTAGGGTTCTTCATCTCACTGATTTTACGGCATATATTAATTTCAAAACAATCACATGAGCGTTCACAAGAAATTGTGGACGACGGACGGACGGACGTACGGACGGAAGCGACTGCAATATACGACCACATTTTTATGTGGGCGTATAAAAATCTTGAAATATTAATCCGCGTCGTTTTCTTCAGATATAATTTGTGCGCAACTCCGATACTTTTTGGTATACGGGAAGTTAATCTAATGATAAACTAGTACAGTTGTTAAACCCCATTTCATTTCATTTCATTTCAGTTACTGCTTATCTGTTTTCAGACGGCCCAGAAGGGACATGAGCCTTTCAGCCCCGATTGGAAAAACATATAACATGACATAAAATTCATTTTCGTATTCACTGGAAAATATAATGGCGCCAATCCGATGAGAAAAATAGTGAATAGTGAATCAAGCTGGTTTCGTTTTCTCGTCATGTCACGTATTCCTCCCCGCGATGGGGTTCAATGAAACCAGTTGGTCCGAGTGCCCAGGGCTACACTCCGTCCCTGAAAATTTTATTACGGGGCTAAATGCGGAATTTTGATTATAAATGATTGTAAACTGCAAACTTTTTAAAATCGAAATCAGAGAAAATTGGATACCAGCCACAATCAGTCGATCACCAGTAGAGTTAACCCAGTGGTTCTCAACTTTTGTTTGCCAGCGGCACACCTTGGAGTACACCTGGCTAGATATATATGAAAAATATTTAAATTTTGCAAAATAAAAAATCATGGTAAGTCAGACGGCATACAGCCGTAGACAGAGACAAGTCATAGACACATAGAATGACTCAAATTAAATAAAGAAAAACACAGCATATTAGTAGACACCAGTGAGTACTCTATTGGGATCACGTGGTTTTTCGCATTTTCTAATTTCGCGGCACACTGGTTGAGAATCACTGCGTTAACCTGTTTCCTACCCCACCGAGCTTGAGAGCCAACAAGCAAGGAGGACGGATAGATGGTTCACGTACCTTGAGCGCGATTGGGTTTTAGTTTCGCTAAATCCGTTTGTAAAAAGGGGGGGGGGGGCAGCAAGAAAAGTGGATGCAATGTTGGCATTAGGACAATGGAAATATCGCAACGACGCTGCATTTCCATGAGTATTTGGGGTAAATGTTTTGAAAATCGAGGGCACTTTATCAGAAATGAAATCATTTAGAAGAGAGATATTACCTCGACGCTGCATTTGCATGAGTATTTGAGGTAAAGTGGGGGGGGGGGGTGCTGCTGATGGGGCTGCAGCCAGGGGTCCCAATATTAAAGGGCCCCCCAAATCTATACTAATATTTGTGACTGTCGTTTGTCTGTCTGTTCGGGGTTGGCGGCTACACTAGGGATAGCTCGGACCGGGGAGTAACATAGGCCAGGTGGCGTTAGTCTACCACTTCCGGTTTCGGGGTTATGACCCCCGAGCGAAGCCGGGCATTCTTCTAGTTAGTCTTAAGGAAAACAATTCAGCGTCCAGTCAAAATGTCCCTCATAGCGCAGTCGATGTTGAATGCCCAGTTGGTTCAGAAGAGTATAGGACGTTAAACCATATTAATATCATTGTTAATTTGTTATGTGTACACGTAATAATAATGTAGGGGTATATAGAATATGGATATATTCATCTTTCTAACTACGCTAATTATGTATTACGTTATGGTGAAAACATTTTCTTGAATTGGTTTAAACATACATTATGCAAGAGCTATATCTGCCTATTGCAGATCATCTTTTAGGCCTGAAATGTTATCTAAATTATTAATTAGACATTAATTAACTTATCCAGACCATAATCAACTCTCGATGTCATTGCTAGCCTGCGATATTTACTGGATTTGAATCCGATCTGCTGCTGATGATTAAATCCAAAAATGGATAATCGAGACTATGTTTTTTTATTGTACCGACTTTAGTAATGATGATCGAAGCTAGGCATAAAATTCAAACGCTAATTTCTTAGTTCAGAGTGGATCAATTTGACTGATATTTTCAGCAAATTCCCTTTACATAATTTAGATTGTAACTATTCCCCTTTAAAGCAGGCTTTTAGCATTACCCTCCTCGATCTTTCCACTCACACAAACATTCCTTCATGAGCGCTTGATAAAGATAACACGATAATGAACAATACAAGGTTAAAAAGTGATTTAATATTATTGTTTTGTTAGTCGGGTAATGAGGTCGGTATGTTGAGGATATTCTTTAATCATTTCTTCTCGTTTAGCGGCAGTCCAATCACGAAATTCAAACCCTGAAACGACAGATTAGAAATAATTAAATCATTAAAAAATATCGAAACTAATTATGTACAGAAACGATGTGTAAACCCCGGGATCACTACGTCATTAGGGATCAGGGTAGTTAACTCCGATAAGTTTTGGGCTGTAAGGAACGTGCTAAGAGTCAATTCATATCATATCTAATTGAGCAGTATGATTATGAATGAAGTCATGAAGATCAAAATCCCAAGCAAAACCCCGTGATTTTGTCCATTTTACAGGGGCTGCAAAATCTGAAAAGGGGGGGGGGGTCTAAACCCATGACACAAAACGCGTCATTGCGTCCCGTCACTTACCTCAGCGAGCCGCGGTGGCTCAGTGAGTAGGGCGCTGGATTGAATCCGGTGTTCCCCGAGAGATTTCTCCGGGATGTCGTTTCCACTTGTCAGTGGCGCAGGAAGGAAGGCCCAACAACGACAGTGTCTGGTCGTTCGGATTGGACAAAAAACCGAGGTCCCATGTACACATTGGCGTGCACGTAAAGGAACCATTGGAAGATCGTTGGAATTCGATATAAGAGAAGAACGTAGCGCTGCTATCATAGCAGATATATATGGCGTACGAATGTCCGTCTTCATTATAGCCCAGTCGGTGCAGAAAAGTAGGATGTTAAACTCCATTTCATTGACTTAGCCCGTATAAACCCGCGAATATGTAGCTTGTTGTCTTATCGATAGTGACTATTATCCTGTACTCTATATTTAACACATATCCCCTCCCGAAAATCAGCGCACACGTAAGATTTGCAATGTAAATCAAAAGTTACTAAACCTGGAATAACTACAGCACTGAACAGAACGTAATCCCCCTCTACTATTTCAGCAGCATACCACGTATCATGGGGTATCAGCACTTGATAAACATGACTATCATTCTTTAATACATCGCCAAGCAAAACATGAGAATGGTTGCCTTTATCATCCAGTAGATGAACCTATAGAACAGAAAATGGGAGTGAAATGTTATTTGAATATATACTCTTCAAAGTAGGGGATATTGAAATGCAAATACCTATGCAGGTTGTGATATGATAAATAGTCATGGACACTTGACATGTTCTGAGAGTATGTTCACAAATGAAGAACTTTTCGCCCCAACAGAACCACTGAGCTACACATGCGACACGCAATAGCGCCATACATGTGGGAGGGGTTCATTGTCAAATTTGACACTTTAAGGAAGGGTTGATGAAAACTGCCGCGTGCTGGTTTATCTATCCATGTTTGCTTTCCTATCGGTTCTTGCATAAGATTTACTGTTTAGCGTATCTTTGCTTTAATTTGATCGGGAGACGTGTTTGTCGACCGACAACACTGCAAGAATTGGACGGTTGATTAGGAGCATGCCACGACGAATTGCTGAATGTCTGAGGATTGGGGGAGCATTTACTCATTATTAAGACAAAAATCAAAAACGTCCATTTTCACTTTTGAGGGTGTATCTCTTTGCGAGTGAAATGGGGTCGTCAGATAAGCCGCCCGTATGAACTGTTTATGTTCATGTGTAGGCAATTGGCTTGTTATTAACATACACTGGTTACCTCTAATAAAAACAGCAGTGCATTTCCACAGTTTGTATTGTTTCTAAATATCCCCTAATTTTTTTTAAGAGTATATGTCACACTAGCAGGATTCCGTTATTGTCCGGGGCCCAAATTCGTCCGAGGCCCAAATTCGATGGTCTAAATCATTCCCGTGGTCATGCTGGTTAATTTGATACCACATATGTGGGGGTGGAGATCGGCGACGAAGCTAGATGGGTGAACACACACACATACATCTTTGGTTTTATTTAATTAGATATCCGGTTTCCTCCCACTGTTAAAGACCCCGACACACAAGCCAATTATTGAAATAAAAATTGAACCATGTTTTTGTCCCGAAATGACTTAGTTTGTGTCGAGTGGACGTTAAACCGTGATTAGAGGGGCTTTTTTCAAGTCGATAACTGGTATTTAGAGTAAATACGACATGTGGTTTGAACCAATAATAACAGTACCTTTATGACCCCACCGGCATGCCAAAAATAAATCTCATCAGAAAGGACACGATGCCACGACACAAAATCTGGTGACGTCAACAAAGTATGGATACTGGATCCAACAGATCGGGGTCCGTCGTGTCTGAAACAGAAAATGGAGATAACTATTTTAAAGATGTATATACATTCTTCGAAATTCGTGTTCAAAATAGGTTGCCACCCACAAAAAACAAATTCAAACTATAGGAAATGTATTTGTTATGAGATATTCAGGAGAAGCTCTTTTTGCAATCTATAACTTTTTAACAGCAGCCATTATGCAATATGATCAAGAAACTGTCTGGAATGTTCTGGCTAATTTCCCATTGTGAGCGGTACAAAACGGGGAGCCTGACACGGAACAGGCGTCTCGTGGTTCGGGTGGTACAACAAGTTAACAACTCGAGGTGTCGTGTACACCTTGACGTCAACGCTTAAGATCCCTTGGCACCTGGAATTCGAAGGCAAAATTTCCCTCATAGCAAACTGCATGGCGTATGCTCGTCTTCATTGGTCAAAACATCGCCCAGTAATAAACAGTAATTGTATATTTCCAGATCAATTATTAAATGCCACGGAAACAATTCATTATCCGGTTTGGTGTAGAATAGGACGTTAAACCCCATTCCATTTCCTACTTTATACAACTCTATTTTCAAAAAGAAATGAAATGGGGTTTAACGAACTACTGTTCTACTCTTGTATTAGGCTAATAGAAATGGGCATAGGCCACGCAGTGTACTGAGAGGGAAATTTTGCTCAGACAGCTACGGCCTCCTCTTATTTCGAATTCCAATTGTCAAGGATTTTTTACGTCTACGCCAATGTGCATACGGAACATCGGTTTTTCGTCCCATCCGAACGACTATACGTTGTCCCTTGTCAGGCCCTCGTCCTACACTACTGACAAGGGGGGTCACGTCTGAAAAATCCCGATGAACATTCTCGGCCAACGCAGGGCTAGAACACGGGACCTCCAGGTTAGCGAGCCAGCGTCCTACTCACTGAGCCACCGTGACTCCCTATTTTCGAACAGAATATTGGGAATACAAAAAATTGAAGTAGATACAACTTACTGTGTTTTGTTAACAAAATTCATCTCTCGGTCTCCTTTCCATACTTGTCTAAATTGGTTTCCTTCTGGGTGTTGTTCTAATTGTAAAACTTTCTTTAACTTTTCCATTTGTTCTGCCGACATTTTAATTAAAATTAACTAGCTAGCTGCGAATAACTTGCAGGATTTGAACTGAAACACACAAACGAAATCTCTCAGTTTCACGCAGAGTTAACTGCGAAAAAAGTATCATTATTATTAGTGAAAAGGTAGAGGCAATTTGTTTGATTAAAACCGTAAAGCGTTCTTTAATCACGTTCTTTGTGACGTTAATTATTTTTTTTTAAAGGGAATTAAACTTATATTTGGATGTATTTTTCGTTTATGTATTGTAGATTTGGCTGATTGACAAATTATATGTAAAAAGAAAGAATAAATAGGGTTTAGCGTATGGGTCTTTAGCAGAGGGGGAAAATCGGCTGGACCGAGGGTTAACCCCTTTAGGCAGCCGACCCTACTCCTTGAAACGTACAAGAGAGGGATCGAAACACGACACGTCACATGAAAACAATAATTCGGTCATTTTGAAACAATCAATAAATATGGTAATTTGCTTTATTTATATGACTACGTGTGCAATTTGAGGTAAGTAGCAGAAATTTGCACGGGCAGGGGCATTTTCGCGCCTGTCAAATGTCCGGACAGGACATCGGTTAGAACGTTAAAGGAGCTAAATCGCTAATATTTTGGACCTAGAATTTGACACAAATGGGTCGCAACACATATAATAATGTAATATGAATTTATATAAACTGTTTTACATTCAATCGTATCCGTTTTACTGTGAATTGTCATCAGTTATGTTCGGCGAAATACGCCAGAAGTCTCAACCGCAAGTCAGTTTCTAGCGTCTGGTTCTTCGAGTCAACACCGATATTATTTATTGCGCATGCTCTCCAAATACGAATATGATATCACCGTTTGACATGACTTGTGGAATATGTCTAGCCTCATTCTTTGAGCACTTTGTTACAAATGGCGCTGAAATGCATTATGGTACACGATTCGGATACCAATGTTAAAATGTTTATTTTGTCTTAAATATTGGATATCAGAATTCCATCTTTTCCAGGTTAGATCACAACACCAATTTAAATTGCAAAAAAAATCGTGTTTTCAATGTCGAAGATTTTGGATGATATTGAGTTACGGACTTAGCTACTTTAAATATATTCATTTAATCATTTCACTTCTTTTCTTTGTAACGAGCGAATTTGTAAAGTTATAAAGTGTACAATAAAAATTTAACAGAAGAAGAAATGTGCGCAGTATTACAAAATATTTTCCGTTCTTAATGAAACTTACGGCCTTACGGGTAAAAAGACTCTGATAATAAAAAAAAAAAATAACTTCATGCATCACCAATTACTGCTGTTATGCTACAGGGCCTACATTCACAGAAAAGAAACAAAATTAAAGTTTGAAATTTATTATTTATTAATAAACTAGAATCAGGCCCTATTAATATTTAACAAATTTCTATTATGAAAATCAGACAATAAAACTGGAATTTGTATTATTGTATGATGAAACATTGCATTGTGTTTCGAATATCCATTACGGCTAAATCTATTTGTTAAGGCCAGCTCAATTTTTGTCAAGGTCGCTGGGTTGCAAATAAGGCTAGGGGCGAGATTGTAGGATAGGGTTAGGGTAAGCATTGGGGCAAGGTCCAGGGTTAGGGTTAGTATTAGGATGAGCGCTAGCCCTGTTTACATCTCGTGACATTATGACGAAAAATTGAGTTGGCTTATCATTTAGCACTAACCACCCGTTACAGTGTGTAAAGGGGAATAACTCCATTTAAAACCACTACCAACACGTTGCCTTATAATAAATTTTCCAGATCCAGAAAATGTGCAGTTTTCCAAAGTTACGAAAATAGCAAACCATTTTACACAACGGTTTGCCCATTTACAACTAAATCCCAATAACAAAACTATCTGGTTTAAATCATAAATATCAAAATATAAGTAGGAAGCGTAGAAGGACTGTTCGATCAATGAAGTGTTTTGAATGGTTAAATAAAAATAGCCGGCCAATTGGCTTTTAGATTACATGAACCGGTAACTGCTGAACCAAAAACACAAGACTCAAGAGACCAAAGCATCGAAAGACAAGGAACTCATGACAGGAGTCCATGCTCCATTAGAAAGAAACCTACCTGGTTACTGCAGTTCCAGGAATTGTGTGTTGCTCGTTTTAGTTGTGGTAAACGCAATATAATATCTTGCTATACAATGCCACGTTGTTCCCGCTTGGTCACTAAATGCAAACTACATAACATACCGGTACCGATAAGAATCTTTCAAATAAAATTGTGTCAAGTTGGGGCGTCAATAAATGGATTTATTTCCCCTTAATCACTCGATGCGAACCACTGAACTGCGAAACTTAATTATTTCCAGTATATTAAATTCTTTCATTAGATCTTATCAATACTTTTTTTGTTTAATTTTCCATGAATTTGATGCTGTTGGTAAAAATTTTATTTTGCATGCCAGTTGCGTTTTTAGTGTTATTACACAGCTAGATGTATTTAATAATACTCCACTTTATCTAAATTCCTATTTTATTGAAAAATCTCTTGTTTCAAAAACTGATATCTTGCTCTGTTCACAGACAAGTAAATCATCCTTCCCTTCCAAAATGCAAAAGGGAATCCATGAAACATGCTTTTCATTATTCTATAAGTATTATATAATTTGGAACAATATATAGCTTTTTGATGTAAAAATGTTGAAAAGATATTACATGTAAATATATTTTGTAGTTTCGGAGGGAGATTAATTTTTGCGAACTAAATATAAGTTGCCTCATTAAATAAATTTTGTATTATTTTTATTATAAATATTAATGTCAGCAAGAAATTTAGGGAGAGGGATAGAAATGAGGTTTAATCTCCACATCCTCCACTCAACACAAATATGGTATAATTTATTTTTCAATAATTGCTTGTGCATATAGGGTATTTAGCATATAGGGTATTTAGCATATAGGGTATTTAGCATTGGGAGTAAACCAGAAGACTGGAGACAACCCATGAGGTAACCCTATTCCTTGTTGCGTAAAATTGGGTTTATTAAGCCAACTAATTGATGAAATGACATACCTTATGAAATGGGGTTTAACGTCCTACTGTTCTGCTCCGACTGGGCTAATAAAGACAGGCATATACGCCATACAGTGTGCTATGAGTGTATTTTTGCCCAGACAGCATTACTAAGTCCTACTCTTATATCAAATTCCAACTTCCAAGGGATCTTTTAGGTGCACACCAATGTGTACATGGACCTCGGTTTTTCCTCCCATCCAAACAACTAGACAGCTGTCCTTGTCACCCCCTCCTGCACCACTGCTAAGGGGTTTTCTCCAGGTCCTCCTGTTTTTTCTCACTGCAAAAGACCCCAACGTACAGGCAAATTATTGAAATAAGATTGAAGCATGTGTTAGTCCCAAAATGACCTAGTTTGTGTCGAGTGAACGTTATACCCCATTTTTCTCTTTCTCTCTTTAACTAATTTCAGATACCAGTTTCATCGGTATATTTTATGCCTTTATTACTGAATTTATTTCGTCGTGGTTATAGTAAAATGGCCGAGAATTATGTGTCTGGAACTCACAGTATGGCCTTTATAACTGTACCAGATATGGAAGTAGCCAAACAATTATCACAGTAAGCCTGTCACTTATTCTCTATGCTTTATTGATTTCAGTGTTTATTTGTTTCTTATTTGTATTTTAGATTATTTATTTTATTTGTATTTAAGTTTTGAAACATATTTTGTAAAGATTACAACACTTGTGCAAAGGAAGTGGTTAGAACCATCCACTACTGGATCTTCAATAGAAGGCTTGATCACGCTTTAACTCTGTATATCTTATCAAGCCCTTCACACAATACCCTGCATATTTCAGTACTAATTTCGATTGGCCAACGACCCAACCGAGAGCCTTTCAGATTCCTTGATCCCCCCCTGAATACCAAGTCTTGCGCTTTCCTGCTAAAATGTTTACCTGTGAAAATCGAGATGCAAAGTTCAAAGAGAGAGAAATGGGGTTTAACGTCCACTCGACACAAACTAGGTCATTTCGGGACTAACATATGGTTTAATTTTATTTACATAATCAATGACATTGTTAAATATATATATATAGAGAGAAATGGGGTTTAGCGTCCACTCGACACAAACTAGGTCATTTCGGATAGCAACGCATATTGTAATATGAATAAATATAAACTGATTTACATTCAATCGTTTCCGTTTTTACTGTAATTTCTAATCAGTTATGTTCTGCGAAATACGGATAGAGTCTGAATTGAATGGCAGTCTTTGGTGCCTGGTTATTCAGGTCGACACCGATAGTATTCTCCTACATTGGGATATGGTTAGCCTCATTCGTCGAATCGCTTCATACAACTGGTTCTCGAAAGCATCCAGTCTCCACCAGTAGTATTCTCTTGTGGGGTATGTTTAGCCTCGTTCATGGAGTCGCTTCATTACAAATGGCGCTCAAAAGCATTCTGACGCTTGATTTGTATGCCAATTTTAAAATTTTTATTTTGTTTTAAATATTGGAGCTTAGAAGTCCATCTTTTCACGGTATGCTAACAACATCAATGTTGATTTAAATTGACCTATCAGTGGTGTTTTCTATGTCGAAGACTGTGGATGATATTGAATTAAAGACTTGTCTCCTTTAAAAAAGAATGGAATGACAGGTATATATTTATATGTTTCAGTGGTATAGTAAAAGAGAAGTTAGCAGCCTGTGTTAATATTATACCTGGAATAACATCCGTGTAAGTTTTTTTTTTCTTTATCACAGATGATCTGGGGGATATTACGTCTGACTCCCTGGGAACATCTTCTAGCATCTTGCTACTTGTCACTACTCTTCTCTCCTCATGGAGGTGTTGGGGCACTCGGCAAGCCTCTGAAGATTCCGGTACCCCACATCTAGCCTCGGCAGTATGACGGTAAGTGATATGTACCTACGCCTATACAATTGCGATGCGGCACCAGTTTACTTATTAGGAAAACTTGACGCTTTTAGAAAGAAGTTCTCACCACTGCGTCATTCGAAGAGTTTGTAAAATTTTCAGTGCAAACTTGTCCTTGTCTAAAGAAAGAGAAAAACAGCTTCAGACTTTGAAATCTTTGTATGATAAAACATTCTTCAAAGGCGTCGTTATGGGCAATGCCGTTGGTAATCCGGGAACTTGAAAGTAGTTTCAATGGCGGACTTCGTTATGCAGCCGAGGCTAGATGTAGAGTACTGGAATCTGCTGAAGTTTGCCGAGTGGGTGTTGGGGCTCTAATGCAGATCTCAAGCTTGTATGAGTAGGATCCTCTGCCTAACCTGATGGGTTTAATATTAAAACATAATAAATTGATAAATACAGTTCAATTTATGCATTTTATGTGTAAAAACAATTGAAATTAAATTTTCAAAATTCACATCAACAATTCAGTTTCCGGAAATTTTTTGAAGTAAAAGCCCTGCTTTGGAACCCTGTTAGTTTTCCTCTTCAAAATCCCTATATTTGTGTCGTAGCATGCAGAGGAAATATGGTTTCTCCATACTCCTTACCGTGTTTCGTTTGATTAGTGCTAATCCCACTTAACACTTCTGTAAAGGAAGCAAATTTCAGTTCCAAATTATAACTGGTCAATAGTCCGAACAACAACCAATAGCTAACTGCGTAACAATATCATTACGCTTTAAACAGAGCTCCAAACTGGACCAAATATGTTTACATAACATTACATCATGACTCGCGGTTTTATTATGCCCAATTAATCAATGCATAGCAGAATATTGCAGAAAAACTAATTGCATGACATCGAGGCTATCAACACGGATACAATGTAAACAATACTGTATGTAGACGAACAAGACTTTCACCGTTTTTAATACCTTAAATCACTGTCCAAAGTTTTAGGGAAGACCCCAGATTAAACGGAGGACTGTCATGTTGCTGTACTTGGGATAGATTTGATTGAACGGGAAGAATAGACACACTCCCTCAAAAGCTCAAGTATCAGAAGCCAATCCAGCAATGGCCAGAGAGGTATTTCTCAGGCTATTGCTTCAGGAATATGGGTTTCTCCATCACTCAAATGTTTTGTTTAAATAAGGAAATAATAAAATATGAAAACAACAATGTTTGTATTACAGATATGAATGGGAGAATGAAATCAATGAAGATAAGGAATTACTTTTGGTAAGATTCATATATATTTAGATTCCTAATATTATGAAATTGAAATTTATCTGAAGTAGATTTTGTGGTGCAGTCAGAGGCCTTTAACTTGATAATGATTGTGTATGAAATACCATAGTTGCTAGAGTGGTCATTATTTTGCAAAAATTTGAAAAGTTAAGGGTCTACCCTCAATTTATGTCGGTTTTGATGAGAAAAATATAAATAAAATTTTTTTTTAGAGGGTGCAACCGTCTATCAAAGTTCAAACAAAACGTGACTTTTTGGCATTTTTTTTATTTTTATGGAAAAAGGTTATACATGAAAAGAATGATTGTTTCCTTGTTTATTAAAATGTGAACAAAATGAAAATAATATTCCACAGTTTTGCGGCAACAACCTCAAAAGTTGTCTCACTGAAATTATAAGGAAGTTTATTCCACAGTTTTGCGGCAACAACCTCAAAAGTTGTCTCACTGAAATTGACGAGATTCGCATTTTTCTCAATATGGAGCAAATTATCACTTGAAAACCGTAACTGTCGACAACAAATATTTACATATATTAGCAATGATTCTTAGATTAAGATAACTTATATTACAGATATTGTTTATGTAATTTTCCAAAGAAAAATTTGTATTAAAAATTACACCAATATTTCTGGCTGACTGAGAAGTAACAACACAGCTATTTCCTGCTTGTATCGATAGATCAAAGTTTGAGTTTTGTATCAATAGATCAAAGTTTGAGTTTAACTTTTTGCTATTAAAAAAGACCCACTAACCAAATATTCTGTCTTATCTGCATTAAGTTTCAAAAAATTGTTGTTCATCCAAATTTTTATGTCTGAAATACAAGTTTCAATATTCAGCTTTGAAAGTCACTTTTAATAGGTTTGAACGAAATGTACAATTATGTATCATCCGCATATAGATGAAATAATAATTCATGATGTCTAACTATGAGACCAAGTGGTTTAGTGTATAAGCTAAACAAGATCACTCCAAGGACGGACCCTTTGGGTACACCGGAAGTCACAACAAAAGGGCTAGAAGTAAGCATGTAGGAAAAAGATACAGTTTCTCAGAAAAATCTTGATTTCGCCAATTTTCGAACCTCTGTATAAAAAACTGGAATCACTTGTGTAGCTTTATAAATATTATTTTTGTTTTGTTCACATTCTAATTCACCAGGAAACATCATTTATTTTTATGTATAACCTTTTTCCATAAAAATAAAAAAAATGCCAAAAAGTCACATTTTTATTTATTTTTTTCTCATCAATTCCAACATAATTTTTGCAAAATAAGGACCATCCTAAAAAAAAACCAAGGCCACCTAAAAAAAATATTCTGAAAACATTTTCCCAGGAATTAATCTGAATAAATATTATATTTATAATATGTTTGTGTGTTTCTTAAAAATGCGAAAAATAGCCAGATTTTGACAAAATAAAAACAAAAAGAACAAAAACTTCCCTCCTGCATCAATTTTTTGAGAAGGATTGTCGGAAAACGAGAATATTATTTTTTTGTGATTGAGAAATTAAACACTTGTAAATTGGACACTTATTATCAAAATTAATCCGTCAGCTTTAAACTGGACACAAGTACAAATTAGATGATTTTTGGTGATTTTAAAGGATTTTTATGAATTTTTAAACAAAGATTTGATATTAAACGAATGTGAGAGAAATTAGTGCTAGATACACAAGATTAAATGATACCTGAGTTACAGTGTTACGATAATAAACAAAGTCTTGTATTTAAATCTTCTTATATCATGCCATCTAGAGTTGATTATGGTCTGGATAAGTTAATTAATGTCAAATAAATAATTTATATAACATTTCAGGCCTAAAGAAAGACCTGCAATAGGTAGATTTAGCTCTTGTATAATGTATGTTTAAGAAAATAAAATTAAAATTTCAATGGTAGATAATCTCCCTGCTTGGATTCAATTTACTCATCAAAAGATTTTATCCAAGTCTTACAGGCCTAGAGTATGCTTAATGTTTGGAACCATTTTTGGACAGATATTCTTTTTGAGAGGGGGGTTGGATGGCCGAATGGTTAGCACGTGCGAGCTGTATCATTAAGGCCCGTCATTGAGTCAACTGGTGTGGTTTTCGAATCCCAGGTTGTACGTGGCAAGGAGTAGGGTCGCCTCGCCTGTCCAACCTCATGGGTTTTCTCCGGGTCCTCCGGTTTCCTCGCACTGCTAAAGACCCCTACGTGCAAGCGAATTATTGAAATAAAATGAAAAAACATATGTTAGTCCCGAAATGACCTAGTTTGTGTCGAGTGGACGTTAAACCCCATTTCTCTCTCTCTCTCTCATTTGAGACTTTGGAACATGATAACTGTGATGAAACTCAGTTATATCAATTATGATCAGAGTTACTAACTGTGATATACTAATGTAATTAGCAAAGATTAAAAATAACTTAAATGTCAGCAGTTATATTTTAATGGCCCAGTCTGGAAGTCACAGATTCGGTCTTTGTAAATACTGAAAGAATGGAACCATTTTTGGACAGATATTCTTTTTTGAGACTTTGGAACACGATAACTGTGAAGAAACTCAATTATATCAAAAACTTGACTAAGTTGCTAACTGTGATATACTAGTGTAATTAACAAAGATTCAAAATAACTTAAATGACAGTTAGAAACATTAAGTTTGACCTGTTATATTTTAATGGCCCACTTAGTAGCGAGGGTGGAGCCAGTCTGGAAGTCGCAGATTGCGTCCTTGTAAATACTGAAAGAATGGAACCATTTTTAGATAGATATTCTTTTTTGAGACTTTGAAACACGAAAACTGTGATGAAATCAAGAGTATAGATCCATTATATCAATAACTTGACCAATTTAGCAAAGATTCAGAATAACTTAAATGACAGTTAGCAACATTAAGTTTGAATTGTTATATTTTAATGGCCCAGTTTGTAGCCTGGGTGAAGCCAGTCTGGAAGTCGCAGGTTTGCTCCTGGGGTTGGCTGAGAAAGTTCATCAGGTTTCTTTCCGGCATGGTTTGGCCTTGTCAGTGATGCTGGATGGCCTGACAAGGACATCTGTCTAGTCGTTCAGATGGAATGAAACAACAAGGCCCTGTATACACATTGGTGTTCACATAAAAGATACCTTGGCATTTGGAATTCGATATAAGACTAGGTCGTAATGCCACTATCTGGGCCAAGTTTCCCTCATAGCACACTTTATGGCATATGGCCATCTTCAATTTAATTAGCCCAGTCGGAGCAGAACAGTAGGACAGTAAACCTCATTTCATTTTTGTAGCCAGGTCCAGAAAGTTCCATTATTTGAAATTATTAAATGTTAAAATCTGGGTAAATTTCTCTCATAGCAAAATGCACAGTATATACCTGTATTCCATTAGTCTAGTTAAGGGGCAGAAAAGTAGGATGTTAAATCCCATTTCATTTCATTTCATTTTCTTTACAAATAAAGAACTATTACTATAGGTATATCATAAAATGCACAACTGTTGTCATTTTGTATGGTTTCTAAATTAAACATGCATTATGCAAGAGCAAAATCTGCTTATTACAAGTCTTTCTTTAGGCCTGAAATGTTATCTAAATCATCAAAAAGACATTAATTAACTTATCCAGACCATAATAAACTCTTGATGTCAAGGCTAGCCTTCGATGTTGGCTGGATTAGATTCCTATATGCCGCTAACGGCCATTGATAATTAAATAAAAAAAAGTGGATAATCGAGACTATGCTGTTTATATTTATGATTTTAGTAATGATGACCGAGACTATGCAAAAATTTCACCCGCTTCTTTCTCGGCTCATAGTGGATCATTTTGACTGAAATTTTCAGCAAATTACCTTTACACTATCTAGTTTTTAACTATTATAGCGAGAAATGCCATCTCTTTATCTTATCTCCCATAATATATCTTTAATATTTTTCAGATGGTTAAAACCCACACATCCAAAGTTGACTCTTTATCAGAATATGTCAGGCATGTATTAAATCTAACTCATCCATCAATAAACTCTTTACTCACCCTCAAATCATCAACTCATCCTTCCAGCAAATCTAACTCATCCATCAATAACCCCTTTACTCATCTTTCAATCAACTCTTTAATCATCCTTCAATCAACTCTTAACTCATCCCTCAATAACTCAGCCACAAATCAGCTCTAACTTATCCTTCAAACAACTATAACTCATCCCTCAATAACTCACCCATCATTTAGCTCTAACTCATCCATAAATCAGCTACAGCTAACTTTCCATAATCGACTCTAACTCATTCTTTGATCAACTCTAAGTCATCCATCGATTGACTCTAACTCATCTATCAATTGACTCTTAACTCATCCATCAATCAACCCTTTATTCATCTGTAATCAGCTTTAACTTATCCTTCCTGAAAGTCTACTCATCCATAAATCAGCAGTTTACTCATCTTTCAATGAACTCTAACCCATCCTTGAATCAAACCTAACTCCTTCTTCAAATCGTACTTATTCTTCTAAATGTAAATTGAATTATGTTGACAGCATTGAATTTGTTTGCAAAACATCTCATAAACCATATAAGATATCTTTATGAAACTTTGTATAAAGATCAACCTATTATAGTAGTAGTACCTTTTGCTAATTAATTTTTTTTCTTGATTAAATCAAGAATGAAAGTGGAGCAGCAAATAGTATCCTAATCCAGTAAATTTGCAGGCTAGCGATGCCATCAAGAGTTGATTATGTCTAATTAATAATTTAGATAACATTTCAGGCCTAAAGAAAGACCTGCAAATGGCAGATTTAGCTCTTGCATAATGTATGTTTAAGATAATTTACAATTTTTGTATATTTTTAAAGAAAGAATCATCCCTATGATGTGGCAGAAGTCATATCATCAAAGGTAAGTTTGATTAATAATTTTAAAACCGCTGATTTTCATTTTCAGAAAATATATAATTTTTCATGGCTTATTCCATGATAAAATGTACTCATATTCATTATGGAAAGGGCCTGGCATAAAGGGGATGGGACAAAAAAACAAGGTCCAATGTACATATTGACGTGCATGTAAAAGAACCCTTGACAGTTGGAATTCAATATAAGAATAGGCCATAGCTGTGCTGTCTAGGCAAAATTTTCCTCATAGCACTGGGTATGGAATATGCCCCAACATCTTTTAAGCTTTTAATTTCATGCTTATATTTTCTCCACCATCTTCCTATACTTTTATTGTCATGTTGTTTGGGTTTTTTTTTTTCAGATTGATAATGGAAATCCTCCATATTTGAAATGGATCTCTGATATTGTGATGTCATCGGATGCAAAGAAGATGAAAACCGAAGAATCGTGAAGGAATTTATACACTGGCAAGACAGTAACTTGTACATACCATATGGACTGATCTTGTGACTTAAATTCATGAATTTTATTGTTCCTTCTAAAGGTGCCTTTACTCTGGTTCACAATACATCATGCTGAATGCTTCTGGGCAAATGTGGCTATTTACTCATTGTCTCAATTATTCAAGTCTCTTGTTAAACTTGAATTCCTACTGATAGAGCAAGACATTTGACACTTGCTCCAACTGCGTCTGCTATTGCAAAGACATTTGACATCTGCGTCTGCTATTGGCTAAGACATTTGACGACTGCTCCAACTGTGTCTGCTTTTGGTTTTAACTTTATTGATATAAAATTTCATCATGTCTGTTGTTTTCTTTTTTGTAAATAAACATCTGTAGTACTACGGACTTCTTTATTGGTTGTGTTTGTGATCGTAAATAACACTACAGTAATACTGGTTTCCCAACTTTATTACTAAGTTGTACTGGCTTTTCAGGTTCCTCGTTCTCAATGGTAATGACTGGTAAGAATTTCTGGGTGAGCTCTAATCTAGCTCTCCTCTACACCCTAATTTATACCGCCTACTTTTTGCAGGTCTTCAATAACCTTGACGTGAATTTCCACGCCATATAAGGAATAAAACTCTTTATTTCCCACAAATAAGACAGGCAACATTACCAATTTTTGGTCTTATCAACCCTAGGTCGATTAACAGCTAGAATTTGATGACTATTTTGATAATGATTATAATTTGACCAAAACATCACTGTTTTTTACGAATAACTATATCCACGTTCATTTAGTACGTATGATATAACTTTATAGACAAAATTGAAGAGACAGTTTTATAAAGACCCACCATTGTCTCAAGGGGCAAAGTGCTACACATCTCCATTTCAACACTATCTAGATAATATTGAGATTAACAGTGGTCTGTAACCTTTAGGAGAGGAAACTCACACGGTTAAGCAGGCAACTCCACTCCTTGTCATGTAGAAGCCTGGGATAAGACAAACTGCTCGCAGCGATCCATCTACGTCATACATCATTATGATCACTGCCCCAATTAGCCGCCATTTAAAACGCCCACGTGATCATTTTGGGGAGGGACTTATCGGCCGGACTAACGCTTTGTGTACACAACAGAGTAAAAATAACGCGAGCACGCACGTGTTTTATGTAATTACGTGTCTTTAGCAAAATGTAAACTTCTTCCAATCCGGTAAAAGCGATATATAATATGTACTAGTTGGTAATATTGCAATAAATTCTTTGCCATTGTAAACTGTCTTTAGAGTTTCAATCTGTTTATCTTTCAAAACAAGGTTAGATACTCCTAAATTTGTCTTTGCAAACAAAACGGCCTCTGTGAAATTACCTTTTATGGGCGCCACCATATTGAATAATTAGAGGACTATTTTGTGTTTCGGCTTTGATTAGTTTGACATCTTTCATACTCACAGCGGCTAAATAAACATATTTAATTTCATTCAATATGACAAAAGAAGAGAAATAAATACTTCTAAAAATTACTAAAAGCATACTCAGTGTTTTCGACTAAAATCGTCGATGTAGGAATTAAAATGTCGGGTAATTAGCTTAGGGCCTGTTCTCAGGCTGAGCTAGATGTAGACAGGCAGCCTAAGTTTGGGATGGGGATAAGAATCACAACTAAGGAGAATGAGCTTCTATTTAAAAGATTTTCAATGGGCTATTTAAAAGACTATGAATGACCTACAGTATTTAAAAGATTTTCAATGGGCTATTTAAAAGAAAAGATTTTCTAAAAGATTTTCAATGGGCTATTTAAAAGATTTTCAATGAGCTATTTAAAGGATTTTTGATGGCTATTTAAAAGACTACGAATGAGCTTCTATTTAAGGGATTATCAATGAGCTTCTATTTAAGGGATTATCAATGAAGGAGACTTTATTCCCTTTATTCTAGCTCCCTGTTTGAAAGTACCTAACAAATTTGTCACAATGTCGCGATAGTATGGTAACTAGCTCTTTTCCAAAGGGTGTGGCCGGGTGGTCTCACTTTGTATGGACAAGATGTTACTGTAAATTCCATTCCATTTATACTCTGAGGTATTAAAGATACACTATAGGAGATTAAAGAACTGGCAGTTCTCACTATAATAGTTAACCAGCAGCTGCCAGGCAGGATACGCCCACATTTCGAGAGATGGATAGAGAACAAGCTAAAAAGAAAGTGTTTTTTCCTACAATCAAGGGCCATAATTCAGGAAATTACATTTCGATATGTGCAAATATCAAAAGGAACCAAGATCTTTGTGTTATAAACTTACATTTCAAGTTTCAACAAAATCAGATAAAAATTGTGACCTCCATAGGATCCACAACCTTCATATACCATATTTTTACGCTATTTGAGAACGCTATAGGGTCCACAACCTTAATGTACCATATTTTTACGTTATTTGAGAACGAACGGCGGCCATTTTGTCTGTCAGTTTTAGGCCGATTGTCACGAAATTCGAACTCAGTCGTCCTTAGGGTGAAACGGTGATATAATAATACGTTTTTTTAAATCGGATAAAAATTATGACCTCTATAGGGTCCACAAGCTAAAAACGCGATTTTTCGTACAATCAGGGGCCATAATTCAGGAAGTTACGTTCCGATATGCACGAATATCGAAAGGAACCGAGATCTTTGGGTTATACGCATACATTTCAAGTTTAAACCAAATCGGATAAAAATTGTGACCTCTACAGTGTTCACAAGCTAAAAATGTGATTTTTCGTACAATCAGGAGCCATAATCCATGAAGTTACGGTCCGATACATGCCAATATCGAAAGGAACCGAGATCTTAGTGTGATAAACCTATATTTCAAGTTTCATTGAAATCGGATAAAAATTGTGACAATATACGTCCACATGAAAATGTGGGCGTATAAAATCTAGATAATATAAAGGGAATATGCTGGAAATTTCAGTCAAATTGATCCACTCTGAACCGAGAATTTAGCGATTGAATTTTAGGCCTAGCCTCCATCATCATTACTAAAGTCCGTAAGATAAAAAAAACATAGTCTTGATTATTCATTTTTTGATTTAATAATAAATGACCGTTGAGCAGCAGATCGGATCCCAATCCAGTAAATATTGCAGGCTAGTGATGACATCCAGAGTTGATTATGGTCTGGATAAGTTAATTAATGTCTAATTAATAACTTAGATAACATTTCAGGCCTAAAGAAAGACCTGTAATAGGCAGATTTAGCTCTTGCATAATGTATGTTTAAGCAATACAAAACAATCTGTTTATTTATAACCGTTTATTATAACCCATGGATATAACAATAACGACTCACAGATATCAATAATAACTATAGAAATAATATAAAAACAATGATATACATGTAGATATGTTGATAATATATGATAAATTAATACACCATATACTCACCCTTAAATAACATGAAAACAATAACTATATATATAATAATTTATAACTTATGTATCTTATCACACTCCTCAGATTGCTAAAGATGCATTATGATCATTCTTGATGTAATTGTTCAAAAATAGATATATTTCAGTCAAATTTCTTTATTCTGAGTGCAGTTACATGTAGGAGTGTTTGAAGTTTTAACGAAATATAGTGTAGATAGTCTTGTTTGTCGAGTATCATTGCTATGACAATAAACAAAGTCTTGATTATCCATTTAGATTTTACATACTGGTAATGCATCTCTAATCATAAACAAATAATTAATCTGAAAGTATAGAGACTGTAAACCCCATTCCCAGAGTTTTCTGTACCCCAAGATCATAAACCTTATTATCTCACATTGGCAGTTCTCTGTATACCAAGAATGTAATTTGAGGAATGTGATTTGGTTAAGGTAAGGAATTTATTTTAAATGCATGTATTATTGCGAGTTCCATTTCCTCAAAAAAAGGGAACAACGGTGGCTTAGTGGGAGAGGGCTTTACATAGGCTAAGCCTGTTCACCAATCCCATTCAGACCGAATAAAATATTATTAAAAAAAAAAAAAATTCCCTGACTAGTTTCCTGTTGTCATAGCACACTGCATGGTCAGGTCTAAAAATTAAGGTCAACTGCAGATTTGGTCAAAGATCACAAGATGTAAACGGGGCTAACCCTTAATACTCGGCAACAATGACGTGTTTACATCTCATGACCTTGACGAGATCTGCAGGTGGCCTTAATATTTAGACCTGACCATGCCCACACTGCATGATTAATGCCCGTCATCATTGCTGAGAACAGTAAAATGTTAAAGATACATTATTGGAGATTCGAAAACGAGTTGGCAGTTTTCACTATAATAGTTAAAATAGTAAACGCAATTTGCTGAAAATTTCATTCAAATTGATCCACTATGAACCGAAAACTAAGCGAATAGTCTCGATTATCTATTTAATCGTTTAATCGAGAAGGAAAGGGATGCAGTAAATCGGCTCACAATCCACTTAAGATCGCAGGCTAGCGATGCCATCTAGAGTTGAATATGGTTTGGATAAGTTAATTAATGTCTAATTAACAATTTAGATAACATTTCAGGCCCATAGAAAGACCTGCAATAGACAGATTTAGCTCTTGCATAATGTATGTTAAAACCCTATTTCATTACATTAAAATGTTCCATTTCTTTGGTTTCCGTTGGTCTTCCCAAAAGACATCTTAGCTGACTAGGCAACAAGCGATTATTGTATACCAAGTAAATAATGCCTGAATTTTTTTTTTAAAGCTACTTGACCCAAGGGTATTTTAATTTTCTGCCTTAATTTTGATTCAACAAGACTGATCACATTATTTTGTTGGCATTTTACAAACCAATTTTTCTTTTCATTTTATGGGGGGGGGGGGGAGGGTAGTATTATTGGCTAAATCTAATGTTAATGAAAATGGTATTGACATAATTCATCACCTAATGAAGCCATGTGTACCAATACAGACAATTCCATTGGCCAAAAGGGTTCACATGGTCTGAACATAATCTTCAATGAAATCATGTCAAATGTCAATGTAGGCATCTAAAAAAACTCTTATACTGCACCAAACCAAATTTTCCGGAGTACTTCCCCCAGGCAATGGACAAGGTACAGTTGTTTGGTTGGGATGAAAACCTGAGGGCCTGTGTGTACACATTGACGTGCATGTAAAAGAACCCTTGGCACTTGAAATTCGATATAGGATTAGGCTGTACAACTGCTGTCCAGGTAAAATTTCCCTCAAGGCACCCTGTATGGAGTATGCCCATTTTTATTAGCTCAGTCGAAGCAGAACAGTATAAAGTTTAACCCCCATTTACGAATAAAGTTAAAGAAGGGATACTGAAATGTACCCTGTCCGTTGGTCCACCCCAGTATGATTTGCATAGCATTTTGTATAAACTGTTCAAGATATTTTCATTGAAAGGAGCTAGCTCACAGACAAGAGATCTAGGGTTCAATCCCTTGAATTTTCCAGTGTTGCTGCTCTTTGTGAGTGAGGCAAGACTGAGGGTCTCACAAGGAACATTGTCTTTGATATATCTAGCTAACTTGGATATATATAAATGTACATTAGCTGGGATATACATGTAGCTGACTGGGATATACATGTAGTTTGCTGGGATACACATGTAGCTGATTGGGAGATACATGTAGCTAGCTGCAATGTACATGTAGCTGATTGGGATGTACATGTAGTTTGCTGGGATGTACATGTAGCTGATTGGGAGATACAATATGCAGCTAGCTGAAATGAACATGTAGCTGATTGGGATGTACATGTAGTTTGCTGGGATGTACATGTAGCTGACTGGGATGTACATGTAGTTGTCTGGGATGTACATGTAGTTGTCTGGGAAATACATGTAGCTGGTTGGGATGTACTAGGATTTTTGATATATTATCTAGTTAGATGGTATTAAGGATGCAACGATATATTACAAAAATGTACATGTAGCTGATTGGGATGTACATGTAGTTTGCTGGGATGTACATGTAGCTGACTGGGATGTACATATAGCTGACTAGGAAATACATGTAGCTAGCTGGGATGTACATGTAGCTGGTTGGGATGTACTAGGATTTTTGATATATTATCTAGTTAGATGGTATTAAGGATGCAACGATATATTACAAAAATGATCGTGATAAATCATGATTATTGCACAATGAATAATTGTGATATCTTGGATTATTATGAGATCATTTATAATGATAATTCAAATAATCATGCTTGAAGGATTCATTATCACGATTATTAAAACTAATAAAAGCGTAACAGTCTTCTTGTTCGCCAGCCATTGTTTCTAACGTAAATAAAAGAAATATTATCCAGACATAGTTGCCAACTGGATAATCAATGGTCAACAATTGGGCCAGTGGAGTTGGTTTCTATGACAAAGACTCTGCTCAACACTGCGTGGGGTAACTAGAAACTGTTTAAGCGAGATGTTTTATTATCCTACTGTCATTTTGATGAGAATTCAGCTGAAAAAAATACATAATACTTTTCAAATTTTATGAATTTGATTCTCCTAAATCATAATGGCGATTATTTTAAAAATAATCATGATATATCGTTATACAACGATTATTGAGAAAGGAGGTGATTATTTTTTCGCCTGACCCAATAATCGCGATTAATCGTAATCCCTGGGGTATCGCTGCATCCTTAGATGATATATACATGGAGACTAGCGTCACACATCACAACCTTAATTCTAACAAACACACACCCACAAAAAACTATTAAAAAGACAAACGCACGAAGACACACCCACAAAAACTATTAAGAAGACACATGCATAAAGACACACCCACAAAAACTATTAAGAATATACGCCCATAAAAACTATTAAAGGACACTATTGGTGCCAGTCATTATCAGATATGTGATAGAGCTGGTTAAACAGATTCCAAATATAATTTTAACACAGATCATTGCTCCGATAGCTGAGTAATACAGGTTTCCTGAATCGGAAGTGCCGAACGCCAAAGGAAAACACGAGTCATCACTCTATATAACTGACTGATGTGACGAGTGATAAATTTACCATGCAGACCCGTGGATATTTGATAATAAAATCCCATAAATGCATTCTGAAATAGGATAAGGGCTCCTTGTTATTCAATGTTAATGAATTCCCATAAAAATGTTCTGAAATCTGCAAGGAAGGCCGAAAATCCCATCATGCCTGGTTGTACTTCCATACATTTGTCCAAATAACGTTTTAAATCGTAATGTATAGGTTGAACAGTGTCGTACAGAAGATAATCACGTACAATATCACAAATATACCACAAAGTTGGCTGAATTATATTCCCTGTGCATTTTCCCGTACTTAGATCGCAGGTGCTCTGACAGTATCTGGTGTATACACAATCTCCGTCACTCCCGCACGTCTTATTAGACATAATGTCGGCTATCATTTTACTAGATTTCAATTCACTCAGGTCACTTAGTACGACCTCATGATCTGCCGTGTGTCCCAGTTTATTTGGTTTAATATTACATAAATAAAAACGCACTCCTTCCGTTTCTGCTAAACCATCTGCTAGTTCTAGCAAACCTAACACCACTTTGACACGATTTTTCCACGCCGGTAGACCCCAACGATATGCATTCTCAGAAAGGGAGGAAAGGATGGTCCGTTTTTCCTTATCATATAACATGTATGAATGATGGAATTGAAGTCCGTACAGACTGCCACAAGTGCCATTGATATTTAACATGGCTGACTGTTTATGAAAGAGGTACAGAAGTAGGAATTCTTCATTGTTCATTAGTTGCCATAGTGATTGGACTTCACCAAGACTTAACTGGAATAAAGAAAACATAAAAGAATTAACTTTTTAAGGGAGGGTGAGGTTGTATGTTGTGGGCACATTAGATCATAAGGTCTGTCATCCAGTCAAATTACATTGTTTTCTATCCGTGTGCTAGGTTACTGCAGTCATGAAACGTATTGCGATTCAGGTGCTGTCAATGTCGTAGAAATAAAACTTTTATATCGTGATATTGATGTGGATCAAAATAAAGACCAAAACAATTTTTAAGAGTGTTTGTGTACCTATGGATAATGTATGACGTGGATAATTAAGAGTGATGGGTTAATTACTGAAGAGACCAAAAAAACATAAAAAAGAATCGCAAGCTACAAAATTTCAAAATGTCTCTGCACAAGTAGGACGTATAAAATATCACACAACAGAGCAAAAATGCTTACCTCTTTATTTTCATTGAAGTCAGCAAATTGAAGAAGCCTATTGATGAGATCCTGATGATTATAGCTAGAACTGGAATGACCAAGTCTACTAGTAAGATATGTTGAACTGTCTTGAGTAAAGGACTCTATCGACAAGCCTACTGGTAACTTGAGTTGGCTATCTGGATGTAATAGAGAAACTGGTGCTCGAATTAATAAATTATCTGGAGTTAGGAATGTCTGAAAAATAAAAACATCAAAATAATAACCAACGAAACCAAACTAATGGTGTTTAACAATAAATACATGACAATAAATCAAAACTACCAGAAAGGTATATTTGTTATCAAAGATAGATTGCCAGGCAACAAAACATACGCCCACAGCAGCTAAATCATTCAAGCGGTCAACAAGGGTTGTCTCATATTTATTCTATTGTAGGTAATTGGGGGCCTTAACAAAACAGTTCCATACAGATCAGATTATAAATTTTGTCGTTTGAGGGTTCACAAGGTTCTACCAACTGAAACAAGGGTCTCAACTCTGGAAGTAATCTACAGAAATTGTTGAAATTTGACATGATTTTTTGTTTTACTAATTTAAATAATGTATATAAATTTCATACAATCACATGATCACTTTTGTCATTCAAACGTTCACAAGGTTCACAATCACCATAACTAGAAATTATTGACGGAAATTGCTGAAATTCAATAGACCTGTTTCACAAATTCAAATGATGCATATAAATTTCATACATATCGGAAGATAACTTTTATCAATTGAGCATTAACAAGGTTGAACAAAGTCAAACAAGGGCGTTCACAAGGTTCAATAAAGTAAAAAGGAGCCATAATTCTAGACGTAATAAACGGAAATTGCTGAAATTCAATAGGATTGTTCTTTTTACTGACTTAAATGGCACATATAAATTTTATACAGATCGGCAGTTAACTTTAGAGGTTAGAGCGTTCACAAAGTGCAACAAAGTGAAACAAGGGCCATAACTCTAGAAGTAATAACCGGAAATTGCTGAAATTCAATAGGATTCTTCTTTTGACTAATTTAAATGACACATGTCAACTTCATACAGAATACAGATCGGAAGAGTGTTCCCATGGTGCAACAAAGTGAAACAAGGGCCATAACTCTAGAAGTAATTGACGGAAATTGCTGAAATTCAATAGGCTTCTACGTTTCACTAGTTTAAATCATGCATATAAATTTCACAAAGATTGGGTGATAACTTTTGGCGTTAACAGGGTTTACAAGGTTCAATAAAGTGAAACAAGGGCCATAACTTTAGATTTAGTAAACGGAAATGGATGAAGTTCAATAGGCTTCTTCTTTTCACTAATTTAAATATTGCATATAAATTTCTGAAAGATCGGATGATAACTTTTGGCGTTAGAGCATTCACGAGGTTCAATAAAGTGAAACAAGGGCCATAACTCTAGACGTAATCGACGGAAATTACTGAAATTCAATAAGCTTCTTTGTTTCACTATTTTAAATCATGCAAATAAATTTCACAAAGATTGGGAAATAACTTTTGGCGTTAACAGTGTTCACAAGGTTCAACAAAGTGAAGCAAGGACCGTAACTCTAGACGTAATAAACGGAAATTATTAAAATTAAATAGGCTTCTTCATCTCACTAATGTAAACAACATATATCAATTTTAAAACAATTGAATGATAATTTTTGGCGTTGGAGCGTTCACAAGAAATTGTGGACAATGGACCGACCGACCGACAGACAGACAGACAAGGGCGATGGCAATATACGTCCACATTTCAATGACGGCGTATAACAATCATTATATTGTTCGAGTTACTCGAAGGGAACAATTTGTTACGACTATAAATATCAATAATGTGGCTTTTATTATGTTTTGCACTTGATGAATGGGGAGTCTGGCAGCAGACAACAGTCCACCAAAGTAGTCGTTTAATTTGTTGTGGGCTAATTTGAGTCAGGCCCGTAGCAAGGGGGGGGCAATGCCCCTCTGAAAAAAGGTTTTGCCCCCTCCCCCCCTGAAAAAAAATTTGCCGACCATAGCTCTAAAATACCTACTGTAGACTGTGCCGGGCCTGATTTGAGTCAGTAATTAATATTATAGCTTGCAATTTTCTCAGGGAGGACATTAACCCAACAAAAAAACAAACAAATAGGATTTCTAATGCGTATTAAACTACATTTCGAGTACCTAGATAAAATGGCCAATTAGACCAGCTATCCCTAATTAGCAGTTTGCCTTGTACCGGGGTTTTGACAGATATGAGACAGATATAGAATGAAATGTAAATATACTATGAAAAAAAAATTAGGATTTCCAATCTGTGATATTTAAATTATACTACATTTCGAGTAGATAAAATGCCCAATTAAGACAGTTATTCCTATTTAGCAGTTTGCCTTGTATCAGGGTTTGGAATCTGTATAACCTAGAAAACCGAGGTGTAAAATAAGGCCAGGTGTCGAAATGTGCCAAAACTTAATTAGAGAGGTATATTTTTAGAGTGTAGATACGACGCAATATAGATAGTAACAGGAAAAGAAGTGTAAGATTGATAGAGGAGAAAGAAAATGAAAAGTAAAAGTTTAATATCTTAAACTAAGCTAGAAATAAATGGATGAATGAAATAAATCTGTTTCTGAAAGCTGAGAAGTTAGTGGTGGGTCCTGTGGGATACTACAGGGTTTATTTTAGTTCTATGAAAGGTGCTCTGTGAGAAAGTAGATATTTCGCAAAATCCAAGTTTCGTAGACTAACTCACAGACATTTCCTGCCACCATCGATTGCTGGAAACAGGGTAATATGGTTTAGTCATCTTGTCCACAGATTAGTCCAATTAAATAGAATAATGTTGATGTAAAACGGACCCCATAAAAAACACTTACCCAAAAATTGTAATTGTCTCACCCTAATAGCTGACACATCTATACTTTCTATATAAGAAAGAGCAAAGTTAAATTTCCTTTTAGACATCATTTGGAGTTCCTAGGGAAGACTTCATGTGGGCTTGTCACCTTTAGGACTCTTAAGGTATTTTCAAACAGAATTTAGTATTCTCAGAAGGACGTTACCACTGCCTCTTTGGCTGAGAGGTTGGGAAACAGACATCATTTAGAGATCTGTTGACGAACCCAAACTAGGTTGTTTCTATCTCCTACCTAAGATACGCAAAACGTGTGAACCTGGCAAAGTTCCAGGTAGGCCAATTATTAGTGGCAATGGAATCCACACTGAATTCATCAGTAGTTTCATAGACGAACATATAAAACATTTCGTCCCTCGTTATCCTAGCTACATTAGAGACACCATCCACTTTGTCCAAAGATTAAAATCCATCGACTTAACACAAGAAAACAATGTTATTCTCGTTACCATGAATGTTACCTCTCTCTATACCAACATCTCCACTAACAAAGGCTTAAGAGCAATAGCCAAAAGTATTCTCACACATCAACCAGATTGGAGAATTCACTCTACATACCCAATTGACTTCTCAAACTTGTATTAACCAAAAACAACTTTGTTTTTAACAACAAACACTACCTTCAAATAGGAGGCACTAGTATGGGCACCAAAGTAGCACCAAGCTTCGCTTGTGTTTTCCTAAGTGAACCAGAACAAGTTATGTTAAAGTACCTTTCAAACCATTAGTCTTTGTCCAGTTATAGATGATATCTTTCTCATCTGGACAAATGGAAATTCTAAATTACAAGAATTCCTACAGCTGATGAATACTTTCCATTACATTCACAGCCGAACTTGACAAAATCTTAACTAGGGTATCCCCCATTCATTTTCTTTGTTTTAAACTACATTTCATCAAACTGTCATTTTCACTGTCATTTAGTTTTTTGCAAAGATGAGTTTGTAGATTTATTGTGGACATATTATGAGGTCTTTCAATCTGATTAAAATACATATTTTGTTTCGTTTTTTTTTTATACTTTAGATGGCCTACACTACATGAAGATATGACAAGTTGTACTTGAAGGTCGTGTCAGGGGTCATACGAGCGGCTTTTGACCCAATGACGTCAAGACATTGATTAATCAATCATCGTTGACGTTTCTAGTGGGTTACCCACTGTTCCGTGCATGAAAAGCCAAGAAATTGACGTAACAGACCGTTTCAATGGCTTATCCCTCACTTCAACCAAAATGCCGGTATAACAACTCTCCTAGATCCTAGTGTAGTAAAGACAAGTAAAACTAAATTTTGAACTATAAAAAAACAAAACGAAATAGGATCTGTGTTTTAATCAGATTGGAGGTCTTTTTTTGTCTATAAGAAATGAAACAGGAGTTTAGCATCATACTGTTATGCCCCGACTGAGCTAATGAAGATGGGCATATGCCATACAGTGTACTACAGCCTACTTTTATATCGATTCAAACCTTAAAAGGGTCTTTTACGTGCACACCAATATGTACTTGTGACGAAAAACCGAGGTCCCTTGTATACATTGGCGTGCACATAAAAAACCCTTGATAGTTGGAATTCGGTATAAGAGTAGATCATAACACTGCTAACCGGGCAAAATTTTCCTCATCATAGCAAACTGGCATATGGTCGTCTACATTAGCCCAGTCGGTGCACAAAAGTAGGACGTTAAACTCCATTTCATTTCAGGTTCGATCATGGATAGAGAATGAACAAATTTCTGTGGAAATCTTTTAATGGATTTGATCATCTGCTGATCAGAAAGAGGCATGTAGAAAACAATAATTTTCTGTGGATACTGGTATTTTAAAACAAAGAATATTAATTAATACCTTGAAATGTTGTTGGTCATTTATACAGTTGGTTAGATGTATAACTCTGTCTATACAGAGACGATAACACATACTACCACTGATTTCATTACGTCTATATTCTTCACACTAAAACATAATAATACAAACATATATTCATCATTATATAAATAATACAGTTATGTATTTATCATTATATAAATAAAACAACTGTGTATTTATCATTATATAAATATAACAACTGTGTATTTATCATTATATAAATAAAACAACTGTGTATTCATCATTATATAAATAAAACAACTGTGTATTTATCATTATATAAATATAACAACTGTGTATTTATCATTATATAAATAAAACAACTGTGTATTCATCATTATATAAATAAAACAACTGTGTATTCATCATTATATAAATAAAAAAACTGTGTATTCATCATATGAATAAAACTGTGTATTTATCATAATATAAATAAAACTGTGTATTCATCATTATACGAATAAAAACAACTGTGTATTTATCATTATATAAATAAAACAACTGTGTATTCATCATTATATAAAAAAAACAACTGTGTATTCATCATTATATAAATAAAACAACTGTGTATTCATCATATGAATAAAACTGTGTATTTATCATAATATAAATAAAACTGTGTATTCATCACTATACGAATAAAAACAACTGTGTATTTATCATTATATAAATAAAACAACCGTGTATTCATCACTATATAAATAAAAAAACTGTGTATTCATCACTATATAGTTGTGTATTCATCATTATATAAATAAAACAACCGAGTATTCATCATTATATAAACAAGCCAACAGTGAGGCTGATGTCCCCCGCCAAAATACCAAAATAAATAGATGACACATTAATTTATCGCACATTTATTTTTTTTAAAGTATCAAGCAATCAAACTGATTATCAACTATACACTTAAGTTTCATCACTCTCTATCAAAGTTATCTTGTCCTAAAGCATCAACCAACAAGGCATTGACCTAATCAACACATACACCAAGTTTGAACATTCTAGCTCAATTAGGAAGAGAGTTATCGTGCCCCAAAGTATCAACCAATCAAATTGCTTATCTCTGCTTACCCTAAGCGGAAAATGCTCATCTAATCAAATTGCTTATCTCTGCTTACCCTAAGCGGAAAATGCTCATCTTCGAACTCCATCAAGGCATTGACCTAATCAACACATACACCAAGTTTGAACATTCTAGCTCAATTAGGAAGAGAGTTATCGTGCCCCAAAGTATCAACCAATCAAATTGCTTATCTCTGCTTACCCTAAGCGGAAAATGCTCATCTTCGAACTCCATCAAGGCATTGACCTAATAAACACATACACCAAGTTTGAACATTCTAGCTCAATTAAAAGTTATCGTGTCCCAAATCATCAACCAATCAAATTGCTTATCTCTGCTTACCCTAAGCGGAAAATGCTCATCTTCGAACTCCATCAAGGCATTGACCTAATCAACACATACACCAAGTTTGAACATTCTAGCCCAATTAGGAAGAGAGTTATCGTGTCCCAAAGCATCAACCAATCAAATTGCTTATCTCTGCTTACCCTAAGCGGAAAATGCTCATCTTCGAACTCCATCAAGGCATTGACCTAATAAACACATACACCAAGTTTAGCATTCTAGCTCAATTAGGAAGAGAGTTATTGTGTCCCAAAAAGTGTGACGGACAGACAGACGGACAGACAGACGGACAGACAGACAGACGGACGAACCCATTTTAATAGTCCCCTATAGTCGAAAGGCGGGGGACAATAAAACAACTGTGTATTCATCATATGAATAAAACTGTGTATTTATCATTATATAAATAAAACTATGTATTTATCATTATATAAATAAATACAACTGTGTATTTATCATTATATGAATAAAACAACTGTGTATTCATCAGTATATAAATAATACAGTCGCTAGTGCTGGGTATTGCCACTGCTGTCACGGTCCGATTCAGGTGCTACGCTACAATTTGTATCACAATTCATAACCAGGTCAATATTTACCAAGAAAACAAGAGGATAAATGAATAATTGATGTCGCAGATTATCACGATATTGACCTGGATAAAAACAGGAACCAAAAAAGTTTAAAGAGTGTTTGTGTACCTATGGATAATGTGTGACGTTGATAATTAAGATTCAACAATATATCATCAATCTTTAAAATGCTTTATGGACGATTATTGGCAATATTGATATTTTCTGCCAGTCCTAGTGGTTATATAAATCATGTCTATACTATTACAAAGGACATAGGAGTGGGTGGGGCTTTAGTGCCCTTTCAATAATTGCATGACTATCGATAATTCAAATCTGTATCGTTTATCAATCTTTAAAATGCTTTACCGACAATTATTGGCAATATTGATATTTACTGCCAGTCCTAGTGGTTATATAAATCATGTCTATACTATTACAAAGGACATACGAGTGGGTGGCGGGGGTGCCTTAGTGTCCTTTCAATATTTTTGTCCCAAAATATAATTATTCACCAAATTTTATCATGGTAAGTTCTGATAGAGACAACATATATGTAGGGGCTTCATTTTCAGTTTGAGTAATCAATTCGTCGGTTTGTGGCGTGGTTTCGGTTCCCCACTTATACCTGAAAAGAAGTAAGGTAACCTGTCCAACCTCATGGGTTTTCTCTCAGTCTTCGGGTTTCCTCCCACTGCTAAAGACCCCTACGCAAAAGGAAATTAAGGAAATTAATGAAATAAAAATGAACCACAAGTTGGTCCCGAAATGACCTAGTTTGTGTCCAGTAGATCTCTCTCTCTCTCCCCCCTTCCCTCTCTCTCTCTCTCTCTGTAGAATAACATTATCCCAAAAAACAGCACAGATTCTGGTTTCAGCTCAAAAAATGTTATCCATTGATTGAAAACGATAATATCATAAAACTTACCAGTTTTTGTAAAATTTGTTTTCCGTTACATTGATTAACTCTACTTGTCAGTATGATAATAACTAGTATTATAAAGATGAAGAAGGCTGTAACAGCTATCACTATTGTATCTTTTACCTGTAAAAAAAATAAAAATAAAACATAAACATTTGTATTGGAATTTCCACATGTGGGCTTCCAGGTCAATCAGACTATAACTTTAGCCTTTATCGTGTCCACAAGATTTTTCAAATTGATCAATGTCATTACAATGAGAATTAGTAAGTTTCTTTCTCTTAGAAACTTTAATGCTATATAAATTTCAAATCAATTAGATAATAGCTTCAGTCTATAGAGCATCTACCAAGATTTTTCACATGAATCAAGGGTGACATCTCTGACAGTAATCATTAATAAGCAATTGCCATCCAAGATACGCCCACATTTCGAAAGAAGTAAGAGATGGACAGAGAATAAGTTAAAAAAAAATAAGCAATTTTCCGGACAATCATAGGTCATAATCCAGGAAGCTCCGATCTAAGCCGGTCTTGTAATGCAAGTATCGAAAGGAACCTAGATCTTTGGGATATAAACATATATTTTAAGTTTCATCAAACCCAGATAAAAATTGTGACCTCTAGATTGTCCACAACCATGGTATTACCTACTTTTACAATATTTGCGTACAAGGAGTGGCGATTTCTCAGAATGAGGGTGAGCGAGTTTTAACACACCCACTTGACACAAACATTACTGTTCTTAGATCTGGTATATTTTTTATTTCAATAATTTGATTGCGCGTAGGGGTCTTTAGCAGTGAGAGGAAACATGAGGACACAGAGAAACTCACGAGGTTTAACGTCCACTCAACACAAACTAGGTCATTCTTGAATTAACATATGGTTCAATTTTATTTCATTAATTCGCTTGCATGTAGGGGGCTTTAGCAGTGGGATTAAACTGGAGGAACTGGTGAAAACCTACAAGGTTGGACAGGCTACCCTACTCATGTACAAGCTGGAAATCGCAACCGCGCCGCTTGATTCAGTCACAAACCTTGTGACTTCATCATTGCATTCCAGCTTTAATCATATAAATAATTTCCAAAAATTATAAATATTACCACCGTTATAAATATTTCAACAATTATAAAAATTTCCAACCAAGCACCTATGTCTCAACAGTAGCTCATCCGAAAGGAAAACTTGGATGTTGATCAAATTTGTTAAGAAGTAAGATATCTATGGTGTTCACAGGTCTCATCTCGTTAAAGGTCCCTTGGAAATAGCAAAATATTCGTAGACTGTAGTACCATTATCAGTGCAAAATTTACCCCTGTCTATATTAGTCTAGTTGGCTCAGAAAAAAGTATGGCATTAATAATACCCTTCTTTTTCAATTTGGGGGGTTGGATGGCCGAATGGTTAGCATATGTGCACTGTATCATAAGGTCTGTCATTGAGTCAATTGGTGTGGTTTCTATTCCCCGGTTGTACCTGACAAGGAGTACGTAGGGTCGCCTGTCCAACCTTGTGGGTTTTTTCTCCGGGTCCTCTGATTTCCTCCCAGGTGCAAAGTGAATTATTGAAATGGAGTTGAACCATTCATGTATTAGTCCCAAAAACACCTAGTTTGTGTCGGGTGGACGTTAAACCCCATTGCGCTCTCTCTCTCTCAATTCTATTATGTAATGTGTAGGTCTGTCATTAAGAAATAGACTCCATGATGATAATACTGACAATATAAATCAAAGAAAGAAATTCTACATAGGCCCAATAGCTGTCTGAAGTTGATCTGAGATCTAATTATTTCCCACCATATTCGGCTCCAGTTATATTTATAAAAACTTTGATTACGATGTCATTTATTTTGTTCCAATCTTTAACCCTGCAATGTAACCTATCCAACTCCATCCTCAAAATGTCCTCCCAGGAATAGTTTTATTCATATTAGACAATTGTATTCCAAATGGCTATAACCCCAAAATGACCACGAAATTATTTCCATATACGCTTACCAATAATTCACCATGTATAGAATAGTTTGATTAGTCAACAAGATCACATCTGAATGTCGACTCTAATAGTCCACAACTGAAAGTGGAAATGTCCAGCTGAATGTTTGATTGAAAAACATATGATGTTTTGCAAATGTTCGTCCATAGAAAAGAATTTGCCATACAAAAATTATATCTAGGTAACAAATTCTATATTAAACCCTCAAAATGATTATTATTCTTATATAAATGAATAATAATCTATCCAAAATTTAGAAACATGCCATTTAGGCAGTAACTGAGATGGATATAAACTTACTTGACGAATTCAATGAAAACCAATTACTCTTCGAAATAAGCTATTTGTGCACCACGATCGCCTGGACATCCTTCAGAGGCAACGAGTTTAATTTCCTCGTGGTAAATTTAAGTACAAACGATTTTCAGTGGATGAGCTAAAAACCTCTATACGGAATGCCATAAACCAGAAATGAGTTGAAAAGGATGCCGATACATTATTGAAATCTGTTCTTGGTTGATCTGTTTACTCTTAGAAGTTTGTTTTACTCCTTTCATTGTATGAAAGCATGCTCATTCTCAATCAATCAGTTTCTTACATTCCTTACAACATGTTATTGCTGCTCTTGTACGTTGTGCTTCTCTATTGCTTCAGTGGCTGAAAATGTCAGAATAATTTCTGATTTTTAAACTGATACCTTGATTATTTTTCCACTATGGCGCTTTCAACTGCATTTCTGAATATAGCATCGTATTCCGCGACCCAGAAAACCATTGAAAAGAAATATTATATATATGCCATATATCTCACATAATTTTGGGAGTATAACGGCAAAAAGCCATATTTTGGCAACCATTTTGGAAAATGGTAGCTGTACTGACCGATAGACACACATTAGGTCAAAAAGTTTAACGGATTGTAGTGTGAGTATTTTATGAAGAATTGTCGTATTTACCTTCCCCTACTTTAAATAAAGAAAATATGTCAGTTGATGATGTAGTAAAACATACATACAAGAAAATTCAATCATCGACATTGTGTACCCTTGTATATCAAAAAAAATATCAAATTTGTTTCCATGGAAACTCCAAAAATGATTAAATCAAAGAAATTTCTAATAAGGAGAGAGAGAGAGAGAGAGAGAGAGAAATGGGGGTTAACGTCCTCTTTACACAAACTAGGTTATTTCAGGACTAACACATGGTTCAATTTCATTTCAATAATGTGCATGCGCGTAGGGGTCTTTAGCAGCGGGAGGAAACCGGAAGACCCGGAGATGGACAGGCGACCCTACTCCTTGTCATGTACAACCAGGGATTCGAAACCACGCCAGTTGACTCAATGACAGACCTAATGATACAGCGCTCACGTGCTGACCATTCGGCCATCCAAACCCCCTTTTAATAAGGAAATAGCACAACTATTATAATAGGTTTATGTGTTTCATAAAGATATTTTCAAAAGTTTATGAGATGGACAAATGGTGGCCTGTTTCAATATTCCTCCCATAACTACGCTTGGACCGGGAGCAGGGCAATAAAACGAAATGTAATTGCCGTCCAATTTTAATCAGACTGGAAGCCTAGCTGTCAATAAATTGTTATAAAACTGAAACCCACCTTACAGCAAAGGCCAAAATATATCTTACAAGGTCCCATTGAAAAACTGAAGACACTGAGTTGGCTTCTACTAAACTTTTCATAACACAAGAGATCTCAGGAAACTTAGTTGGCTTCTACTAAACTTTTCAAAACACAGAGATCTCAAGAAAATGAATTCGCTTCTACTAAACTTTTAAAAAAACACAGTTCTCAAGAAACAGGGTAAGCCTATTCTAAATTTATCAAATCACAGTATTAACATAACCAGTCTCCAAGCCATCATTTCACTAGTTATGTTGATGCATAAAGCAAATGGTTATAAATAAAATATATCTAATTACTAGAACTCTAAACACTTAAAATTCTTATATACATTTTCCTTACTTATTTCCTGTTGTTCACTTCACACTGTATATTAATAAAAATACTCCACCCTCTTTCAAATACAGTGTATTAAAATATATACATACTTTATCTTTAAATGTAGTTTAATGTCTTACTGGGCTAATAAGGAAGGACATATGCTATAAAGTGTGGGGAAAATTTTGCCTATGGCCTACACTAATTCCAAATTCCATATGTCAAGGATTCTTTTATGTGCATACCAATGTGTACATGGGACTGCATATTTTTTTTGCCCTATCCCAATGACTATGCATTGTGCCTTGCCAAAATACACATACAAGAGACTGAAAAAAAACCTGTGGGATCATTTCAAATGGGCATAAATGGGAATATATGATGGTAATGAAGTAAAAAAAAAAAATTTTTTTGAAATGGACAAAATGAAGGACATAATAAAGTGTAGTCTGTTAGCGGCTTTGGTGTGTTTTGACCATGTCCCATTTACATCTTTTGCAGAGGATTCTAAATGTTAAAGCAGCATTATGGGAGATTAGATAAAGAGTTGGTAGTTCTCACTATAATAGTTAAAAACTAGATAATGAATGGGAATTATATGTTGAAAATGTCAGTCAAATTACTTCACTCTGAGCTCAGAAATCCTCATTTCAATAACACTGTAGTCTCGATTGTCATTGCCGTTGTTATAATAATAAACAAAGTCTTTAAATATCCATTTTTATGGTTAATCATCAACAGCCATTGATCCGATTAAGGCGTGTGCATTAGATCTGTTAGTTAGTCAAGTGGCGTTTTTTTGATTCTCTGCTTCTATGTGACAAACACAAATGACATTTAGTAAATGTTTAACATGTGTATACATGTAGTTAAAATCAGAATGGCAAAATTCTTAATACACATTTAAAATCCCTTAAAGCCTGTAACCTTTTGAGAAAGAATTTCCTGTATATTTCTAAACACTTTATAATTTTACTGTTAGTAGGCTAATGACCCCGTTTTGTTTTTCTAATATAGTAACAAGAAACAAATATATATTCATTTATTTGGTTTTCACAGAAATAAAATGGGGTTTAACTTCCTACTTATCTGATATGACTGGTTGAATGAAGACATGCACATTCAAATCAGGGTGATATGAAGGAAATTTTGTCCAAATAGCAGCATAACAGCCTACCCTTAATTCAAATTTCAACTGTCAAGGGTTCCTTTACGTGTAGGGACCTACACAGGAATTGTTTACCACTGTCTATGAGCTGTTAAAGGAAAATATTGGTGCCAGTCATTATCACATATGATATAGAGCTGGTTAAACACATTCCAAATATAATTTTAACATAGAGATCATTGCTACGATAGCTGAGTAATACAGGTTTCCTGAATCGGGAAGTGACAAACGCCAAAGGAAAACACGAGTCATGCCTCTATATAACTGACTGATGTGGCGAGTGATAACAGATACACAGCCGAATTTCTGCTCACTAATAATTCCTTCGAAGACCAAGAGTTGTTATACGGGACTGTAAGAGGATACCTGACAATTCAATAAAGTAATTGAATGTCATTAGATAAGAGAAGATGAGAAAAATAGAAATTATAGTCTGTACATTCCCTTGCTTATATTCATTCTATACCTTATAAAAACATGGTAATGCACAGACTTTTTCTGTTTTTCTTTCGTGTTCTCTTATCTAGTGGCAGTCAATTCTTTTTATGAATTGTCAGATATCAGAGTCTCACACAACTTTTGGTCTTGGAAGGAATTATTAGTGAGCAGAAATTCGGCCATTTATCTGTTATCACTCGTCACATCAGTCAGTTATTGAGAGGGATGCCTCGTGTTTTCCTTTGGCGTTCGGCACTTCCGATTCAGGAAACCTGTATTACTCAGCTATCATAGCAATGATCTCTGTGTTAAAATTATATATGGAACGTGTTTAATTAGTTCTATTACATATGTGATAATGACTGACACCAATATTGTCCTTTAACAGAGGCTTGTGTGAATTGCTCGAGAAGATAACTCTGCTTCAGCTAGGGAGAATGAAATCAAAGAGGGTTTATGGTAACTCTTTCAGACATATGATTGAATAAATAAATAGATAGAACTCAGTGACCATTGAATACTACATGCAAATCTCAAAATACCCTGTTCTATCCATCATAGGTTCGCCCTGGTGACGTCATTACAGTTTGACGTAATTCTTAAAGTTAGTTTATTCTGCACAAAAGTAGTATAAGTCCAAGTAATTGAATACAACCATAGGTTATTCAATGGCTATATTCGATGACTGTATTCAATGATATTTGCTTGTATTTAAATGTAGTTATAGAATAAAAGTTGTTATTTGACAAACCTGACATGTTTTTAGTGAAGATATAATCTGTTGTTGACATATCTCATATAAACTTCTATCACTGTCTCTTCTTCTTCTTTTTAACTTCATACCGAATTTAACTTACACACGTCTACCAAATATATAAATAACATTTATTATTATGATTCTAACTGTCAGGCTATGTTCTCCAATGACGGATAGTGAAATACACCAGAAAATACAGATAAACGTAGGACCTCCAGGTTATTGAGCCAACATCTTCATCACTGAGCCACTGTGGCTCCCTTGAGTCAGTGGAATAGAATCTAAAAATGGCTGGACATTAAAGGAGCTAACCCTCTATTCTTTGGAACCTTAAAATGGATTAAAATGGGTTGGTTATTGAGCCAACATCTTACTCACTGAGTCACAATGACTCCCTTGAGTCAGTGGAATAGAATCTAAAATTGGCTAGACATTAAAGGAGCTAACCCTGCTGTGCTTTGGAACCTTAAAATGGGTCAAAAAGCATAATACGATATAATCCGATTTATATTCAATTTTTCAAATCTTCAATGTAGTTTCTAATCAGTTCCACCTTCACCTATAATCTAGTTTACATATTGCAATAAAAAGAAATCCACAAAACTGTTTCTAGGTTCGTATAAGGTTCTGTTTGATTGGGTGGTTGAATTGTTTAACGTGTGTCGTTTATATCATAAGGTCTTCCATTGAGTCAAGTGAGAGAGAGAGTGTGTGTGGGGTTTAACGTCCACTCGACAAAACCTAGGTCATTTTGATACTCACACATGGTTCAATTTTATTTCAATAATTCGCTTGCGGGTAGGGGTCTATAGCAGTGGGAGGAAAGCAGAAGACACAGAGAAAACCTACGAGGTTGGGCAGACAGTCCTAATCTTTGTCATGTACAGTCATGATTAATTTGTCATAGTTTCGATTTCCCAATTGTACGTGACAGGGAGTAGGATCGTCTGTCCAACCTTGTAGGTTTTCTCTGTGTCCGTGGTTTTCTTTTAGGTCCTAGCTCAAACAACTAAAGACAACTGTACCTATGTACAAGCAAATTAATGAAATAAAATTGTACTATAGGTTAATCCTGAAATGACCTGGTTTGTGTCTAAGGGACTTTAAACACCATTTCTCTCTCTTTAAGATGTAGCTCGTAACAGTGGCACAATTCTGAAAACTACTCGATTTTGATAGGTCATTTGGACAATAAAAGTATCTCATGTTCAAATGTGAAATATGAAACGGGAAGTGTTTAGCTCATAAAAGTAAAACATATTTGCACAAATCATAGCTAGACTTCTCAAACAAAAGAACAGAACAAATTTGATCAATATTCCCTAATGCAAATAAATTCAGGAACTGTGTATGAAAATTACACTCTATTCATGCTTCATACAGCTTCATACATGTATCTCACTTTATGATTTGGATGACATTTATTTCTAAATCTGACATTAACTTCAAATATTCAGTCTGGAGAGATAGAGAGAAATGACGTTAAACACGATTTCTATGCATTTAGGGTTTTTTGGTTTTTGATCTACACTGTACAGTTTTCCATATCTACATACCGGTAAATAAAATCCAAGATGTGTGTGTTCACCCATCACACTTCGTCGCTGCGATCCAACCCCACATATATGTAGTATAAAATTAACCAGCATGCCCCTGTGAATACACACACGTCACAATAAACATTAATTAACACGAACACAGTAACAACACACATTAAACATTAATTAACACGAACACAAAAATACTCACGCAATAAACATTAATTAACACAAACACAAAAATAACACACACAATAAACATTAATTAACACAAACACAAAAATAACACACACAATAAACATTAATTAACACAAACACAAAAATAACACACACAATAAACATTAATTGACACGAACAACACGCAATAAACATTAACACAAAAATAACACACAAAATAAACATTAATTAACACAATAACAACACACGATAAACATTAATTAACACCAGACCACAGAAGAGGTTTATTAAAGGAAAAAAAAAGAAAGGGGAAAAAAGCACTTCACCATCCCCCACAGGTAGAGTAAAGCCATGATGTATAATTTTGTTGGGTTATATTTATTCTTTTGTTTAAGGGTCTTTAGCAAGGGATTCAATAAAACTCAAGGACTTACCTTGGGCATTTCCCTGCATAGACACTATGTCTTACCCAAATCAAACTGGATCAATTTGTTTAAGTGGCATTTAGTAACTGAAGGAGAATATATGACACAATTATATGGAATACAAGTTACTTAACGGATTTATTTCAGCGACGTTCCGACAAGGGATCTCCCTTCTTTGCTTGATAAAGACGAGAGAACCTTCGTTGAAATGTCACTGAAATAAAATCCTTTAAATAACTTGTATTCCATATAACTGTGTCATGTGTTAAACTGGATCAAGCCTATCTCCTATGGCTGCTTCCTCTAGTAAGTTTCTCAGGAAACACTTGTCTACGATATCATCCTTGGTGGAAGTGGAAGTAAAACTCTAGTAACAAATTGCCTACCCTGCTTTGAGATATAATAAAATCATCACTAGCCTACAGTCAAGATGTTATACAGTATAACTACAAACAGCAGGTACATTTTGTACCTCCCTTCATTAAAGGAGCCAAGTCTCTAACTCAATATCATCCACAGTCATGTAATCACAACTTATTGTTCAATTTAAATCAACATAGATGTTGTTATCTTACCATAAAGAGATGGGCTTCTGATATCCAATATTTAAGACACACAGAAAATTTGAAACTTGGCACATGAATCACAAGCCTGAATGCTTTCGAATGCCATTTTTAATGAAGTGAATGGATAAACAAGGCTATTCATATCCCACAAGGGAAGACTACTGAGCAAACTGGAATATTAACCAGACGCCAAAGACTGCCATTTAAATTGCATTCTATGCATATTTCTCCGATAATTATGAATTAGAAATTACAATAAAAACAGAAACAAATGAATGTAAATCAGTTTATATATATATTCATATTACATGCATTGAGACCCATTAGTGTTGACTTCTAGGTGCCAAAGAATAGCAATTTAACTCCTTTTAGATATACTAAAATCCACAATCTTACTATTTTAGAAGAGTAAATTCTCTCTTCGGATAGAACAGACTTTGAATGATTCTTCAATTCTTTAATATACCGGAACATAAATATACATATTTCGTCATACAGTACTGACAGGCCAGTTACTGCACTAAGTAAGGGATCCTAACTAGTAACTCTATCAATGTACAATTTTGTTATATTTAAGGAAAATCAGATAATAGGATAAAAGTAAATGTTGTAATTAAAACTGACACGTCAATAGATGAACAATGCATAAAGGATTAACAATATAATAAATCAACAAAAACAATAGATGGGATTAATATCGTCACCAAATGACGGGTTGAAAAGTGATGACAGGTTAATGACTTACTAGCCAGTTGATTTAAAGTGGTTAATTTAAGAAACATTAATTACCGGTATCTTAGCAATTGGCAGATTATCACACCATTATACAATCATATACAACTGGCAGTAGTTTTTTCTTTGATGTCCATAGCATCTCAGATTGATATATTCAGCTCATATCAACCGCTGATGACGTTGATGATCGGAATAATACAAAGAACATGGAAATACATTTTTATTCTTTTGACAATTAAAATTTGTTATGGTACAGTTTGTAGCATTCAGCACCAAAACAGACAGACAGCATACTTCATACTTCTCGGCATATTTAGATCGGTTATCCATGTCTAAGATGTCTTTCAGAATTATCTTTTCGTCTAAATTTCGATTATTTCTGCACACAATACATGACTTTGTAAAGTATTTTGGGGTACAATCAACTGAACACAGGTGGTCAAATTCTTCTCTGCACTTTCACGGTCCAAAATGGCGAAAGTATAAACAATGCATTCATGTGATTAATTAGGTAATTTTCGTTATTTGACGGAAATTACTGTGCAGTTAATATCCTATACATATACAACTGGCGGTAGTTTTTTCTTTGATGTCCATAGCAGTTATATCTCATAACAACCTGTCATGACGTCATCATAGGTTGATATATTCGTTCATATCAACCGCTGATGACGTCATGACAGGTTGATATTTCATATCAACCGCTAATGACGTCATCTCAGGTCGATATATTCCGCTCATATCAACCGCTGATGACATAGATGATCGAAATAAAACAAAAAACTTTTATTCTTTTGACAATTAAAAATTGTTATGGTACAGTTTGTAACATTCCGGGCCGAAATAGACGGCGTACTTATCGATATACATGTATTTAGATCGGTTATCCATGTCTAAGACATGTCAGAATTTTCTTTTCGTCCACATTGCGATTATTTCTCCACACACTACAAGACTTGAAAGTATTTATCGCTCAAGAGTTCCTTTATAAAGTATTTTTGGGTACAGTCCACTTAAAACAGTCGGTCAAATCCTTCTCTGAACATACCGAAAACCTTCAATCATGGTTTACTGTCAGAATTCTTGGAAAAGAATGCCTTTTGGTCCAAATTTTCTGCAGGCTTTGGATAGATCCTCGTCAATATTTGCATTCACATCTATTCCATCGTCAATATGTTGGCTAAAAAGAATTGATTATTCGTCTGACTTCGTATTACTATCCATTTTGTTTTTGCTTTCAATTCAATAGTCCAAAATGGCGACGTATAAACAAAAACATGCACATAATTGCACGTGATTACTTCGGTAATTTTCGCTATTTGGCGGAAACTATCGAGCAATTATCCAATCATTGTTGCCTTTTAATGGAAGAGCCCATTAAATTTAAGGGTGAAATGGCGTTGTATATGTCGGATATAAACCTACTCTCCCTTGGATTGATATGGTAGAGAACGCTTGGGCTTCGCCCGCACGTTCTCTACCATATCAACCTCGGGTAGGTTAATATCCTATACATAATATCTACTCTATACACAGCCTACCTCTATGCTCTATGATATACTTGAAGAGCCAGGGAGGAAGTACGATCTTGATCACTTTTTTAACAAACCCCAATTAATGGCGCCATCTGGTAGCAAATTGTATAAGCTTTCTGTGGAACAATCTATTTCAGGTAAAAATGATCGGAGTCACATCGAACCAAGGCCCTTCTGAAATGGCCTCCCGGACAAATACAAGCCCATCATACCCTTTATTTAACCTTAATTTGCCTGAAAAATTGAAGTCAGTTGTACTGATAATTATGATTCATATTAAACATCATTTTGAACTCGTAATTAAACCCACTCATCGTTCTGTTCGTGTCAAACATTCTCGTCCAAAAGTCTGTTTTGCCTTTTATGCGAAAATACAAAAATGTGACGTAGATCGTTCTTCCCCTGGACTCTTCACTTAAAATCCACACCATATTACAATACAGTGATTTAACGCCTTTTAGATATACTAAAATCCACAATCCTAATATCATAATAAAAGCCTACCTCTATGCTCTAAGAAAGATGAAAATTCCACTCTATATTACAATACAGTGATTTAACTCCTTTTAGACATACTAAAATCCACAATCTTAATATGATAATAAAAGCCTACCTCTATGCTCTAAGAAAGACGAAAATTCCACGCCATATTACAATACAGTGATTGAACTCCTTTTAGACATACTAAAATCCACAATCTTAATATCATAATAAAAGCATACCTCTATGCTCTAAGAAAGATGAAAATTCCACGCCATCCTACAATACATCATAACCATAACCAACTATATCAACCATTATAATATACAACAGGTATGGATACATAAATTATGTCATCTTTATCTTGCCTATGTGTTTTATTTACTTACATAAATCTCAACATTGCCACTAGCCATAACCTGTCAAATTATTCATCTTTCATATGATTTATTATAAATTTACATTGTTACATGAATTCGTAGTCATTACAAATGGCAGAAATTGTGAAGCGGGCCTCTAAGCGCTAGTAACCCATCAAAATTTTATTTCAGTAATAATTAATCATAAAAAATCAATTGCAATTAGTTATGAATATATTAATTATAAAAAATAAATTGCAATTAAACTTATATTGCCCTAATTGTCATTTACCCCACGGAAATTGTAATTACATATGAATATATTAATCATAAAAAATAAATTGTAATTAAACATGTATTGCCCTAAACATCATTTACACCATAGAAATTGTAATTACACATGTCTGTATTTCCTTGAAAGTCATTTTTACTACAGAAATAGTGACCTTAACTCATTAATTACAGATTATTTTTAACACCTGGGTAGAATAATTTTTTTGGAAAATTCAGTTTTATTGACAGGGTTAGCTAATCATATTTGGAACATGTTTAACCAGTTCTATCACATACATGTATGTGATAATGACTGACACCAATACTGTGTCCTTTAAATTTAAACCATGGCGTAACCTTGTTCTCCAATTTATACACACTGGCTATAAATATCTAATTAATATCCGATTTCTAGGAGTCAGTTCACTGATCCAATGTTTAGGGGTCCAATGATCATTAGTACAATGCTCCAGTTACATTTTCAAAAACCCTGTAACTTTGACTTGAAGTAAAACCTGGGGGGAGCTTGCTATCTTTTATGGTATAAAATTTGAAATAGCAATAGGTACATGTACAGACATGTATGTTAGGCTCTACGTCATACAACACTGACAAGTGAAAACCATGCTGGAAAATCGTGGGAAATTTTCTCAGTCAACATATAAGCATCAGAAAGAAAGAGGGTTTAACATCCACTCAACACAAACTAGATCATTTTGGGACTGACGCATGGATCAAATTTATTTCGATAATTTGCTTGGGCATAGGGGTCTTTAGCAGTGGGAAGAAACCGGATGACCCAGACCAGAGAAAACCCACAAGGTTGGGAGTCAACATTTAAGCATCAAACCAAGGCTCTCATTTCAGACATATCTGTCTGTCTAAACTGACTGGCAGTGAAATAGAAAGGCTGCCATTTAATTATCATAGCATAACATTAGATTTTATTAAAAATCAACTTATCACATATTGACTTTATTGGGCAAAACTCATGTAATACATGTATATAAAATATAAAAAATTGGGATACTCGGTAATGAACTTATATTTTTTGGAAAATATATCTTGCTAATCTGAAGTCAACAAAATACATCACAAATTGACTGACTGGCAAAATGTTGAAGTGTAAACTCTACACTAGATCATTACCAGTAAACAATTGACCGATAATAAGCAAAACTAAAGTTAAAGATGCATTATGTCAGAGCTAAATCTTCCTATTGCCATTGCAGGCCTTTTTCTGGTAACAAATGTTATATAAATTGTCAATTAGACATTTATTCACAGGACAATTTTACGTAGATTACAACACCACGACCATTTACATGTAAACTTCAATGATAAAATAGATGATGAGGACTTAGTACTGTATGGTGTACGCTCATCTTAGCACGGTTGGAGCAGAAAACTTGGACATTAAAACCCCATTTCATTTGATGTTTATAGATTTGTTGATGTAAATGAAATGAAATGGGGTTTAACGTCCTACTATTCTGCTCCTAAACTGGGCTAATGAAGACGGGCATACGCCATACAATGTGCTATGAGGGAAATTTTGCCCGGGCAGCGGCGCTACGGCCTACTCTTATATCGAATTCCAACTGCCAAGGAATCTTTTATGTGCACGCCAATGTGTACACGGGACCTCGGTTATTCGTCCCATCCGAACGACAAGACAGCTGTCCTTGTCAGGCCCTCCATCCTGCATCACTGACAAGGGGAAACCACACCGGAAAATCTGGATGAACTTTCTCGGCCAATGCAGGGATCAAACACCCGACCTCCAGGTTAGCGAGCCAGCGTCTTACCCACTTAGCCACGTGATCCCCGATTTGTTGATGTTTATGCATAAGTAAACTCTGAGAATAATAATAATAATAATAATAACGAGGTTTTATATAGCGTCTTCTCCATGTTGACACATGCTCAAAACGCTTTTAGTAATAGCTCTACTGGTAAAACTGTCGAAACAGGAAAGTCTTTAGTGTGGATTTAAATTGATTAAAAGTATGTTGATTTTTGTTCTGTTGTGCAAGTTCGTTCCATAATCTAGGACCAGCCGAACTGAAAGACCTATAACAATATTACTTTAAATTATATCTTGGAACAACTAGTGACTGTTCATTTTGAGAGCGAAGTGATCTAATTGGGTCGCAGTCATACAAGAGTTCAGATAAATATTGAGGAGCTGCGTTATTGCGACATTTATACACTAATGTTAGTATTTTGTATTCGACTCAGGCCTCGACAGGTAACCAGTATAACGAAGCTAGCACATTCAGGATGTGATCAAACTTATGTGATATTTAATTAATAAGGTAAAATGTGATAATGAAACTCGAATAATTCTGTACTGATAAAGTTATCTTTTTATTAATGATTTAATTCATTTTTAATTTAATTACATGTGTCAATCTTGTTACTTAAACTAAGATTGTTTCCTCATATCTATTGTTTTTTTTTTCAGGCTGCTGGAATATCATTGGTTGAAATACACCTATTAGCCATTAGTCGCTGTCCATTTCCGATAAATTCTTTTTCTGCAGAATCTAATGATGTTTAATCATAGGGTCTTGATGCTCTCACAACCGTTAGCCATTAGATCAACAGACAAGTAGTGCTCCTTACATCACTCGAGGCTGTCAGTCTAGGACACTCTAATCTAAAATTTTGTGTGTTGTGCGCACCCATACTGGTACTAGTTTCATTTATTTTGACACATTTGATTAATTTCATGTCCCTGCTGTCAAACCAGAAAGAATATCAGTATTATGACCATTTATTTTCTGTATGTTAAGGATATACCAAATTATCTAGGTACATGTAAAAATGGGTCTTAAATTTTGTGACCATAACATTCTTTTAAAATATAATTTATGTAGAAGATAGCAACATTTCTTCCTCCCACCCACCCCTTTAGCTAAATTTCGTTTCGTCATACATGTACATGTATATGGCCGAGTTATGTAAATTTGTGCCTTACCCTATATTTAGATTTCAATGGTTTCTGTCCTAATTAGCTGTTTAGCAGAAGGGGGCATATTTTTAACAGCATGTTGTGTCACACATACTGACTGTAGCGAAGTAAGCAAGGTATTATTTTCTCACTAAAATGTTCCTTTGCCATTTTTAACTGGAAAAGTTTTGTTTCAAAGTTTGATATGTATGTTTTTCCCCTTTTTCAGACCCCCCCCCCCCCAACCTTGTTATTTATGTATTTTAAAAAAAAAAAAAAAAAAAATAGAGAAGCAAGGTGTATGTTTTACTATGATTTTGTTAAGTCCACAATAAATACTGAATATGAAAGTAAATTGTTTTATCCGTTATTATGTTATCATGCACCTGGAATGTTTGTTTTATTCTGTTGTAGTATTAAAAGGTGGGCAAAGCAATAAATGACTGAAGATTCTGATTTTTCACAGATTCCAATTTTTACCTGAATTCCGTTTCGTCTTGTATGGCTGACATTCCTAAATATGGACGTTGACCAATATTTAGAGTGTCATGGCGGCGAAAAGGCAACTTGATAGGAGGGGACGTATTTTTAACAGCATGTTTGTGTCTCTCATACTGTCTCTAGCTAGCGAGGTAAACAAGGTCTTATTTTCTCACTAAGATGTTCCTTTACATTGTACAGGCGTTCACAGAGACTGACACACGACCGTTTAGCAGTAAAAAGTTGCCCAGTAAAATTGACTGGGAACGGTTTTAGTTTAGACAAGGATTCAATAGGAGGTTTCCTGAATTCGTACAGGGCGAGTGTAATAAGACCTATACGTTCAGAGCTGAACTACTGTGTAGACCTATGTAGTGTTACTATTTCTATCGTAATTACGTCAGCTGTCAACAACATCTCCACAGACACAGTCAGTGTTAATCTCAGAATCTGTCTTTCGGTCGTCCATTGAAAAATTCTCTAAAAAAATATATATATCCACCTGTTCTGCACGTCCTTGTCACTGTAAATGTTCTGCCTCGAATCCATGCTCACTCGGTATCTTTGGAGAAACTACATTCTGGTCAACTATCGGCTTTGTCACGTTAATTTTCCTCCATAAACAAACAAATTTGGATTAATGCACAATTTCACATCTGTTTTGTTTTGGCAAAACCCAATGTCAATCTTGTTATTTCCGGTATATAGTGTTGGAGTTATCCGCCCATTTAAATTTTATATTATCTGTTACCGTGCTGAGAGTAAAAATAGCCCGCTGTTTGGCGTTAAAAAAGCGCCCACATGTCGGCGTCACTCGGTATGTCCGGTGTAGTGTGAGGTCGGAGGATATAAGCCTTTATAAAAACGGCATTATTGGTTTGTATCTTTTTCTTTTTTTTATCAATGAAGAACAATTTTGGGAAATTATTTTGCAGAAGCATAGGCCTACTCTTCATCGGCCAGACGTCAAAGGTTAAGGTGCACATGACACACCAACGTCTTCTAGTTCTACCCCACCCGAGCTGTGAAATTATGAGACCAAGTTTTTTCTAGACTAGTTTTTTTGCGTAGAATCTGAATATGTGTGGGGATCAGGCGTTTTGTTGTTGTTTTTTTTTTTGGGGGGGGGGGGGCGTTTTCGAGATATGGGGGGTCCAATGTCTACAATTGGGGGGGGGGGGGACATAGATGATGATCATGTTATGTATTAATAAAACATACATTTCTAGGACTATCCATCTCTAAATAAGTGTATATGATGCCCCTGAACAACTATATATTTTGATTTGAAGGGAGGTGAGGCGAGGGACTGCACGTGTGCGTGTACGAAAGAGTGGGGGGTGGGGTAAAATTGGCGGGGAATGAGTTCACGTTGATGTAAATGATGATATTCTTAGAGCTTGGTAAAAACATTCCCTTTTAATGCCACCGACATCTCTAAATATATGTATAAGATTCCCATTGTATGGGGGGGGGGGCGGGGTAGGGGAAATATGTATTTTTGGGGACAGAAATCATTTGGTTCAAAATTGACCTTAAAAGTGGCTTCTCGTTAGCTTTTTCGTTTAGTGACAATTTCGTCATTCAAAATATTAAATTATAATGGTACTTTTCAAGAGATCTGGGGAAATATAAATAAAAATAGATGTTTTATTTTAGTATATAAATATTTCAGTGATTATCAGAATGTTCAAAATGTCAGAACATTAAATTTTCTTTTGTGTGTGAAATAGCTGTATTTAACGTCCGCTTTTATTTCACTTCCCTTTAAAGGGACAATAACACTATGGCTGGCTTGACAACTCCAGAAAATAGAAAAATAGCCTTATTCTAAGTACTAGATGTGTTAGTGTCTTACCTGATGTGTTAATTATCCATTAAATCCTATTTTACTTGTCCAAAGGGTTCGAAAGTATTTTTTTAAGTCCAAATCCAGTTGAATCGTCTAACGTCAGACGATTCAAATAATCTAAGAGCCATTTCTATCAAGGGAGGTAATAAACTCCAGATTTGATTGACTTTCTGTTGACTTTAATGTTAATTCTCGTCTCTTAGACCGGCTCTAACTTTTTCCCAAATTTTCGTTGGGTAGAACGCTTTCTACCACAGATGGAGCAACATGTGGCAACCTCTTGCCCAAAAGCACGTATGAAGTTCACCATGGAAAACTTGAGATACACAAGCTGGAAGTAGAGATAAGAAAACATGCAATTTTGGACCCTACATTTCAACCTAACCAACCTCTCAACTCTTGTATCCTTCCGCCTCAAAATCATGAATATTCACCAAAACCTGGTAGAAAATGTATTTTCAAACCCTTTTCTTCCATTCTACACCAAAAAGTCAACAAAAATCGCCATGCAAAAGGGGGAAAAGGGCAAGGGAGAGAAAGACTTAAAATAACTTTTGCCCTACATTATATTTGGTGAGCTGTGTCCTGATGTTATAAGGGGATATCCTCAAGTGTTGCACGGTTTATTGTCGCAAATAAATAAATACGTAATGTCAACGGGAATGTGAAAGGAAATGGGGATTAATATGACTTGGATTACCACACAATTAATTCAAACTTATTAATAACATTCTAGAAAGTCCGTCTTAGGTCTAATTAGCCTGAATTGTATATACACGTAGAGGTGTCAATCAGCTAGATCTCTATCTATCTATTGACTATTGTCCTCAAGTTCGAACAGTGTGAGTGTGATTTTTTTCCTTCGATTGACAAGTCTAATTAACCGTGGTATGAATTGAAGGAGAAACTGAAAATAGAGACTCATCAAGAAATGGCAAAGCTGTTATTGGACAGGTAGGCCTTATTTTCAAAAAAAATATTATCATGAGAATCTATATTCAGCTTATTATTACCATTGGCATTGGGAAACGTTTCGTTTTGAACTGAGCGCCATGGAAAACGCATCACTTTTTTCCCCAAATATTTTACTACTAGGTGGTTTTATATGTATAATATTATGCAATACTATGAACTATTGTTTCACACAATGCTCCCAAACGCAAAAAATATCGGACCGTGTGCACCCAAAAAAATTGCACGAGATGCACATGCAAAACCAATATTCACGTGCAGCATTGTGTGTGAGCCCTTTAAAAGCATGTTTCAACTTAATGTGCAGTACATTATTATTATTATTATTATTATTATTACAGCATATTTATAGTGCACCCTTTCATATAACATGTTCAGGGGCACTTTACAAAGTGACAATGTAAATCATACATAAACAACAAGATTATGGGCATGTTAACGATTGTATACAGAGTCAGTTAAAAGCCTGATTAAATAAATGTGTTTTAAGTTGTTTTTTTAAAAGAATACAGAGATGTACAACATCTTAAACTAAATGGTAGATTATTCCATAAAACAGGTGCTTGTTAACTAAAAGAGCGCTGACCATAGGAGACTAGTTGAACAGTTTTGGGCTTTAAAAGTAGTTTATCTGATGTACGTAATGTTCGGCCAGGTGTATAAAGTTCTAAAAGATCTGAGAGGTAAACAGGAGCTAAATTATTTAAACATTTAAAAGTAAGTAATAAAATCTTAAAATCAATTCGATATTAAACAGGTAACCAGTGTAAATTATATAAAACAGGAGTTATGTGGTCACATTTCTTAGTTAAAGTAACAAGTCTAGCCGCAGTATTCTGTACTTTTTGTAATTTATCTATAAGCTTTAAAGGTAAACCAACTAAAAGTGACTTAAAGTTATCTAATCGAGAAGTGACCAGAGAATTAACAAGTGACTTAGTGGCCTCTACAGTTATACATTTACGTATTTTACCTATATTTCTAATATTAAAATAGCACAATTTACAAATATTATTTACTTGAGCTCCCATAAGCATAAAACTATTAAAGATAGCGCCAATATTACGAGCAGAATAAGATGAAAATATATCACAATTACCAATTACAACAGGGGGGTTATCTTGTGCAGATTTACTTAATTGATGCCTTGAGCCTAATAACAAATATTCGGTTTCATCATCATTCAATTTTAGAAAGTTCTTTGACATCCATTTTCTAATTTCACTAATACAGTTCTCAAGTTGCAATTTTGATAAATTGAAAGAAGATGGACAATTAGGTGTAAATGAAATATATAATTGAGTATCATCGGCATACAAATGAAAGCTGAGACCATATTTTCTGACAATATCTCCTAATGGTGACGTATAGAGGGTAAATAAAATCGGACCAAGAACAGAACCCCAGATGACAAAACAGATTCAGACGACGATTTGCAATTAACTAAAATACACTGTTTTCTACCCACAAGATAGCTCTCTAAAAGATTTAATGCAGAGCCACAAATACCGAATTTAAATTGAAGTCTACGTAGAAGAATGAAACGTCAATCTGTCGTAATTTGTTGTTGGACGTGTGAAGGAATCGAGCTAGAGATGCCGAGACTTACTGAAAATCAACGGAATGAAGCCATGGGAATGTCCAGGGCTGTCATTTCTACACGTGCTATTGCCAGACACTTTAATTGTCATCAGTCCACTATTGTAAGGTTTGTGGAACGTGTCCGAGTTACTGGATCAACACGTGACCGTCAACGTCCTGGTCCACAACGCGTTACAACCCAGGCTCAAGACCGCTAGATCCGGGTCACTCATCTGCGTGACATATTCCGCCCAGCGACTCGAACAGGTGCAGCAGTCGTAGGAAGACAAGGACCAGTAAGTGCCAACACTGTAAGACGTCGTCTAAGAGAAGTAGGACTCCGTGCACGACGACCTTATATTGGAGCTATCCTCAGGGATCATCACCGCCAGCGGCGTTTGATATGGGCTCAAGGACACCAGACATGGAGAAGAGTAGACTGGCAAAGCGTGCTCTTCAGTGATGAGAGTCGCTTTCATCTTTATCACGCTGATGGCCGTCAACGTGTGTGGAGACGTCTTGGGGAACGTCTTGCAGTCTGCCGCGTCTTCGAAACGAATCGATGGGGTGGGGGAAGTGTAATGGTGTGGGGGGGCTGCTCATTTCATCACCGGACCGGCCTACACATTTGCAGGGGTCACGTTAATGCTGCAGCCTACCGTGATGATGTCTTGCAACCAATTGTTGTTCCGATGTTTCGAGCGCACCCACAACTTCAGCACTTCCAACAGGATAATGCACGTCCGCATACCGCCCGTTTTAGTATGGACTACCTGGCTGCTAACAACATCAATGTCTTGGACTGGCCAGCCATGTCTCCGGACATGGCACCGATAGAACATGTCTGGGATGAGATTGGACGCCGTCTGTATCGGAGACCACAGATGCACACCATTACTGCTTTAGAAGCTGCTCTTGTCCAAGAATGGAACAATTTGCCCCAGACCTTCTTTCAAACATTGGTAAATTCCATGCGCCGTTGCTGCACAGCGTGCGTAAGAGCCCATGGAGGACACACGCGCTACTGACATCTGTGTCGTACCTTTGGTTTTGACCCCTCTGACTTTGTACCGTTGATTACAGATTAAACATCCATAAGTGTACAAATGTGTTGTTATTGATGTGTTCCCATTTGAATATTGTTCACAATAAGAAGCAAAATAAATAAGATATGTTTACAGGATCATTTTGTTATACGAAAAACTAAGTGATGCGTTTTCCATGGCGCTCAGTATATTACTGTTTATAAATATTATGTCTTTATAAAACATGTGGGGATCA